GCGGCGGGGGCATTCGACTCTGAAATCTCGAACTTTTAGCGCAGCCAGAAGATGAAGGTCTCAGTAGTCGCTCCTCGCATTCCTGTCGAAATAAGCAGGTAGGGCCGCGGTGCCACCGTCTGCCGGTCAACTACGTAATCAACTTGCTACCTGGACTCCGTCCGGATGATTGCGCCATTTCCTTCTGGAAGCCTTCTAGCGTCGCGGAGCTGGAGCTACGGAGTAGAGCTACTAGCGTAGCTGGAGCATCAATTTCCATATCCATATGCCATGACGTCGGACATATCGGTCTCGGACTGCCTGCCATATCAGTTGAAAGAGAGTGGATAGTAGCTTACGGTCAATATCCCAAGGGAGAAGGGAGCAGCTCCGTTTTCTTCTAGAAGCCTTCTAGCTTCGTGGGCCGGGAGCTCCGGTCTCCATATAGGGAGCTCGAAATCAACGTCAAGCTCCATACTCATCTCTGGGTTGCCGCGGCCCGCGACTCGCCGGGAGACACTTGACGCCGGAGCCGGATCCAGGACGGGACCTGGCAGTAGTGACTGCCATCTCCGGCCCTTCATCAACAGTGTGGACCTTCTGGATAGCTATGGTGGAACTACAACTCTTCAGCGTCGCAGCGAAGGAAGCGAGGCGCCGTTTCCTTCTCGAAGCCTTCTAGTTCTTCTAGCTCTGTGTATGGAGCAGCTAGAGCCTAGAGAAGTGCTAGCTCGTTGTAGCCCCCTGTATGGCACGACGTCAGACGGCAAACAATCTAAAAGGTGGGTAACGGCCGTCGGTAAGATTCCTAATTTCCTATTCCAAGCTCGAATCTCGAACTCCAAGCCGTTTTTAATTTGGGGGAGCAGGCCCGAGTCGAGGGGAGAAGTACCTCAATATCTTGCTCCTACTCAAGCTCATACGAGTAACGAAGGGTATCCATATCATAATTCATCTCCGACCCGTGTTGTCTGAAGTTCTTCTCCTTCATCAACCATGATCTCAGTCCCGTCACGAACCATGCTGTCAAAAAGCACTTTATTTTAGAAGGACCAATAGAGGTGCAGTGGGCTCCGCTCTATCTTTAGCGTGCCCAATGAGCTACCGCTGATTTTCGGGCTTATGTAACGCATTGGGAGGTCTCCCCACCTGCGAGCCGAGGTGGTGGTCCGGTCTACCCACCGCCAGAGTCAGACTCTCTGGAGTCTAGACTAGAGGTTGAGTAATGTCTGCTGTGTTCAAAGAGCGAGTCGAGTCGGCAAGACTGAGAGTAAGTTGATTACCGAAGGCTCAATTTTGGACTCTCACTGTGGGCAGGGTCTAGGCAGCAGCGTCATATTTTTCTGCGCATGCATCTTCATGGATCTGGAACTCACAATTATGCAGCGCAGGGCTAGGCAGTGCAGTGCGCCAGGCCCGAGTTTGCGTCCCACAAACAATGGGCTGACACTGACAGAGAGCGAGGGAAAACTCTGCAGAATCGTCCCTCGTCACTCGATGTAATAATACCTGTGCGACAAAGCGTGGTAACTCTCAGGCGTGGAATCATCAAGCCCTACCATATCCTTGAGCCTACGGGTGACTGCGCGAGGAGTATAAGTCTGGCGCTCAATCTCATCCATGGTTCTGGTGTTGAGCTGACAGCTCGCTTAGTTTCATACTAGCTTAGCCCAAACTCCCTTGCTGAAGCTGCCACTGTTAGTGCTGGGTTGTATGTAAGCTTTGACTGATTTCGCCTGCGAGAGATATGGAGATTTGGAAATTGGAGTTGTGATGAATAATGAAGATATATGTTGTTGATCATTGCATGCTCAAAGGATTTGCTCGAGTCTCCATAAAGTAAGTATCGCGAATGGCGGTTAAGTCATTGCTTGCACTATCGCTGTTATCTGAATTATGAGCGAGCGGTGTGATAAGGTTGCTTTTTCCCATCGAAGATCAAAGACGAAGCTCCAGCCCCAACTTCAGGGCTACGTCGTCATACGGAGTTGTTGATCGGAGGTCCGTCTGGAGTTTCACCCATGCGCTACCGGTAAACTATTGGTAGAGCAGGAGCTAGCAGCTGTTGAAGATGGAAGGAATCATGGAAAGTCCGGAGTAAGCTTTGAGTTATTTCTTCTAGCTTTGATGTCGAGACAAAGAAAGAGAACCTTGAGCAAACTGTAACCACGCCAGAACCCGGGGTTTGGCTGAGGAAATCAGAGCGATCCGGATCTTAACGGGGATTCCTGTGTAACCGTTCTGATGCCGACTGGGCGATGCAGTAGACGACGCGTTTTTGAGCAACCTCGATGCCCGTTACCTCCGATGAAGCAATTGCCAACCTGAAAATGGGGCAGGCTTCGGCGGACATTGGCTGATGGGCAGACCCGACGAGTCCTTGGCTTGCTGCAAGGCTACGCTCTCTCCGCAGTTGTTCCTGCAGTAGGCCGGATAAACTGACCGGTCTAGACGGTGTCGAACAGGTCCAACCTAAACTTGGAAGTATGTGACTGACGCACCGAGACTCACGAGAGAGGCCCTCGCCTGGCTTACTCTGAAACTTGTCTCTACTGTCACTTGTCGGAGCATTTGTCGTCTCATTGGCAGGCATTTGTCAAGCTGGGATACCGCGGCAATATTGTATGCAAGGCGCGCGCTCGCAGTGTACCTGGCATATGACAAGCAAACTTGTCTGGAGTACAGCCCCTCATCTGATGAAACCACAGGCAATCGGCATGGCGCCGGCTGCAGAAGGATCATATGAAAGCACGTCTTGAGCCCGCGTCGAACGCTGCAAATATTCGATATCCCGACAGGGATTGTATGCAATATCGATGTCCGCTGGACGAATCTGTGGGCCGGGAGAACGGTTTCGAATCCTCGCTCGTCGCCACAATAATACCCGTTGATATAGGTATCAGGTAGATTGATTACTCCGGTCGGTGTATACTCTTTTTCTTTGTCCTCCGCGCACCGAAGGAAAGCCTGCAATTATTGTGGCACTGGCCCAAGCCAACAGTGCGACCAATCCTCCCACGGCGGCGAACACGGGGAATTGATTCTGATCGACCTTGCCGTTGTTGTTCACAGTTAGAGAGACCCCTCTCTCTCTGCCTTCTCTTGCTGATCTTACTCAAAGCGAGTCAGCGGCTCGAGCGTAATAAAAAGTGATGGAGCCGGCAGCTCATAGGCCCAATTCCGACCGGAATTCTTTCTTTGAACAAATTGGGCCTGGGGGAAGAATCGTCCCCAAGAGGACGGACGGGATGCGCACTGCGTGGGGCCGGCGAGTCAATCCTTCCCAGAGCAGCAGCCAACTTTTCGGTTGATTGTGCTATCGCTGGCTGTGCTGCTATTGGCCAGCTGGCCTGTGTTCGCTCCCCGCTCTCGCTCAGAAAGAAGAAAAACAGGCGCTCCACCTTCAATTTCCACGGGCGTGCTGATTCGTCGAGGGCCGGTGCACATCGCTGATAAGCCATCGTGGCTACAGAATCAGGTCAGCATGTCACGTCTGGAGGCCGCTGGTGAGATGTCATTGCTGGAAGGGCGTTCGTCAGTAGACGCGGGCATGTCCGTGGAGGGTAAGACTGTACTTGCTGGTCGATGCTGGCCGGGGGGGCAGGCTGGAGGGGAGGGAAGCAGCGTGACTGGCGGAGAGGACAGGCAATTAATCAATTGGCGATCTATTTTAGGAAGGAGCGAAAATCATTGGCAGCTTTTAGGTCTCGGAACTGCGAATTACGCTGTGTGGCAACTGGCTCAGCCTTCGACCAGCCAGCACACAAACTGTCTGCTATGAGCTGAGACCGCAGAGAGACAAATCAAGAGTGCGTCAGCTGCCACTGTCCAACATGGCGCTGCTGTTGGTGAACGGCCACCACCAACAGGACGCTGTAGTCCAACTCCCAGCTCTCTACTGTAGATACATCTCCGCATTCGCTTCTGTATCCGTACCGTAACAATGGGATGGATATTTGGGATTTTGAAAATAATGGGGCTTGAAGCCCACTCGTGCTCGTCGTGCTCGCTCCCCCACCGACTTACGCTTTTTGGGATTCCCCGGCCGTCCTCACGGGTGGGCCACACCCTGCTCGCTCTAGCCCATTTGATTCGCTGTCTTGGGCAGGAGCACAACATCCGATGGCAACGGCCAGCTGGGACGCTGGGAAGTGTACTGTGTGCACAATTCCAGGCCGTCAATCCAGATTCGGTCCCACGGTCTTCTTGCTGGAGGATCCCAGGAACTGGGTGGTTGCATGGCTCGAGCGATGGGCATCAATCAAAATTTCGACGATAGATCTGAGCAGACAACGCAGGAAAGATTGTTAGGCGTTATGCTATATGACACCATCTGGCCGAATCAGCAGATGGCATCAGATCGTTTTGGGAAAATAAAAATAATAATAATAATTGGCAAATTCAAAGTAAAAGTACGGCTCCAGTCCGAGCAATTCGTAGCACAGGCAGATCACACTCTTTTATCCACAGCCCGTCCATCACCTCCACCATCCTTCCACTCGCCCTCTCTCTCATTTCCCTCCCCCGCGACTTCATCTTCTCTTCCTATCCTTATTTCAATTTGCCCTTTCCTTTCCTTTTTTAGACTTCTCTCTTCCCTCGTCTTTCGTTTCTTTTCCTTTTCTACTCTCTGCATTCCTGCTTCGACTTCCTCTTCTCTCATCAGTCTTCCGGTACCTGACTACAAAGGTCCCTGTCCTTCCTTCATAGACCCTGCGACAAGAGAAAGTACAAGCTCGGAACACCACCACAAATCGCTACAACCGCCAAAGTGTTGTCTGATGCTCTCGCCTCAATCATTCCTTACCTGAGCGCAAGACATCCGACTATACATTCATTGCACCATCGTCGACACTCGCCGATAACAACTTATACTTAACTATATCTAATAATACCCGGTCGAGAGCAGACATCTGCTCTTCTTACCTTCGACCTACACCTAATGTGAGCTCTTTCGACATGGTGACACAAGCTATATACTGATGCAGTCAGAATCATCTAGCACAATGGACGCGTACACAATGGCCCCCAACGGCCAGCCACAATTCGCATACTACCCTGCCGACTCACAACCGAGGCCGCATTACGCCAGTCATCCCTCCGATATGCATTACTATGGCCAGGTCTCGCCCTTCGCACATGCTCAGCAACAGCCACACTGCATGCCAGAGCACTACGCTCCGACAGTTATGAACATGCACCAGATGGCCACCGCCAATGCCTTCCGCGGAGCTATGAACATGACCCCCATCGCCTCTCCCCAGCCGTCAAACTTCAAGGCGTCGCTTGCTGTGCAAGGCTCGCCTGCTTTGATGCCCTTGGACACCAGGTTCGTCAGCAACGACTACTACGCATTCCCCTCCACGCCTCCTCTTTCCACCTCGAGTAGCTCCGGGGGTAGCCCGCCTTCCACAACCGGTGCCCTCCACACTCCGATGCACGAGAGCTTTTTTGCTCTGGAGAAGGTGGAGGGAGTCAAGGAGGGATGTGAGGGAGATGTCCACGCTGAGATCCTGGCCAGTGTCGACTGGCAACGCTCGGCCTCGCCGGCCATGACACCTGGTAAGTTTCAAGTGGATTGCGCTCGGAGCGGGTATCAAGAGGTGGGCCAATACTGATTCCGTTTTTAGTCTTCCTCCACAACCCTTCAATCTCCAGCCAGGGCTCAGATCTCCTCTCGGCAAGCTCGTGCCCGTCTCTTTCCCCATCGCCTTCCCCTGTTTCTTCCATGTTCGGACAATCACAATCATCCCTCCAGCTTGAGCACTCCACCTCTTTCTGCGACCCCCGGGAGCTTACGGTCGAGTCGGCACACCACGCTCCTACAGAGCTTCCTCCTCTGCCTTCTCTGTCTTGCGACGACGAGGAGCCCAAGGTAGTTCTCGGTAGCGAGGCCGTGACTCTGCCTGTGCACGAGAACCCCACTCCATCTTTCACAACCTCCAGCGAGGACCCACTCAGCACACTTCCGTCTTTCGACAGCTTCACGGACCTTGACTCGGATGACGAATTCGTGAACCGCCTGGTGGACTTCCACCCTAGCGGAACCACATTCTACCTTGGTGGCAAGCGACAGCGCATGGGAACTTACTCGCTGGATGAGGATGAGTTCCTCAGCGAGCACGGCATGGACGAGTCCGAGGATCTGGAAGTCGCCCTTTCTGGTCTTCCTACCATTCAGCTGGATGGTGGTGAGACCGCGGAGGATATGGCCGCCAAGAAGCGTGGAAACCGCAAGTCGCTCAAGAAGGAAACCGAATCAGATTTCTCCAGTGTCCAGGCTCAGATGCCCGTCAACGAGACTGCCGTTGAGTCTCCAGCACACGACCACGCCGACTGCCAGCGCCAGAACTCTGTTGTCAGCACATCCGGCTCGGAGACTGCGTCTGCTCCCGTCTCGGTCAACCGCCGCGGTCGCAAGCAGTCCCTGACGGACGACCCTTCCAAGACCTTCGTCTGCACACTCTGCTCCCGCCGTTTCCGCCGCCAGGAACACCTTAAGCGCCACTACCGCTCTCTGCACACCCAGGACAAGCCCTTTGAGTGCGGTGAGTGCGGCAAGAAGTTCTCCCGGAGTGACAACCTCGCCCAGCACGCCAGGACCCATGCTGCTACTTCAGTCGTCATGGGCGTCATCGACACCAACAGCGCCCAGGCGTACGACGAGCGAGATCCATCAACGATGGGTGTCCTCTATGACGCAGCGACCAAGTCGACCACCACTGCATCGGACGACAGCACAGAACCCTCTGTCGACCGACGCTCGCTCAAGAAGCGCAAGCGAGAGGAAAGCAATGCGTGATCCGGTATCACGTAAGCTATCACGAACGCTATGCGACCAGGAGCTTTTCCTATACATTCATACAACATCCTGCATTTTCACCAGCTTCGACATCCACACTGGTCTGGTCGGTCGGTTTGACTTGGATTGGTTCGGCGTTAATCATCATCATTTTTGGGTACGGTTTGCATCACAATTCTCCGGTCAAGAGAAAGAGAAAACAGCGGCACAAGCGGAGCGGTGTTTTGGGACGCCCTTTTCATCATCATTTCAGGGCTATCTATCTATAGAAGGGGCGCAACAACTCGGTCGGATCGGATCAAAATCATAGAGTGCATCGCATGGCTTGGCTGGGTTATCTGTTCAATTCAGCTCACGGGCTGTATCATCATCATCATTATTGTTCGTTTTCTCTCGTTGACCACCATCAACCTTTCTTGTACTGATTTTATTACCCCTGCCTCTTTTCTTCTCTTCACATATTTCTCTTCTCGCTTCGTTTCTGTTCCTCTCGTTGACATTGCCTTCTCTGTCTATTTTGATGTAATATGCTTTTTTGCCCTTTTTCTGTGCTGGCCACATGTATAATTTAGTTTATCCTCTCCTTCTCCCCGTCGTTACTCATACCCCTACTTGCATACTGTTTTATATCACTTGTATCTTTTGCCAATTTGCATTTTACCCCGTGTGCATAATATGCCGTCTGTGCTGTACGTTGACAGTCGTCCAGCGACCTAGCTAGCTATAATTAAGGTGCTGCTGAAGCAAAATCTTCTTTCATTCGTAGATCCTCTAGCTTTTTCCATCCGTTGGTAAGTTGGTGGTCCTCGTGGACCTTAAGGTTTTCATACCCTACACCCAGTGCAAGGTGTCAACCTTCGCTCGGGCGCGATCAGCCAACAACCAACTTGGAACGAACCAACCATCAAAGGCTTCTTCGCCATCTCTATAATCCACCATATACTCCCTTCTCTCGAGGAGCCAGTTCTTAGAAGAGGAGATACGAAGCTCTACATTCTCTTCAAGTCCGGAGTGCACTTACTCTACCCCGCGCTGGTGCTCTACAGTATCTAATCTAATCGGACCTGAGGGGTAAATCAGAAAAAAATCCCCGTCCCTCCCGCTTCAACTCCACGGGAGAGCAGACCATCCCAACCACAACAAAATCACCCAAAATGAGCCTCAACGTGATCGCCCTGATATCGGGCGGAAAGGACTCTCTCTACTCGATCCTGCACTGCATCCGCAACGGGCATAAGGTCGTTGCGCTGGCGAATCTCCACCCGCCGCCTCTCCCAGCAACCACCACCAGCAGCAATAGCAATAGCAATGACGTATCTACAGCAGATGATATCGACAGCTTCATGTACCAAACGATCGGGTGGTCCGTCATCCCGCTGTACGAAGAGGCGCTGGGGATCCCGCTGTACCGGGCGCCGATTATCGGGGGAGCGGTGGATGCGGGGAGGGTGTATGGCGACGCTACTACCGCGGGTGAAGAAGATGAGGACGAAACAGAGTCCCTCATCCCACTCCTGAAAAAAGTCATGGCCGCACACCCGGAGGCAAACGCCGTCTGTGCGGGCGCGATCTTGTCCACGTACCAGCGGACAAGGATCGAGGATGTTGCCGGACGGCTTGGTCTCGTCCCGCTCGCTTGGTTGTGGCAGTACCCGTTTTTGCCTGCAGAGGCGCGGAGTACGGGGGCAGGAGAAGACGAGGCAGGCCTGCTGAGCGATATGGCGGCGGTGGGGTGCTCGGCGCGGATAGTGAAGGTTGCGTCGGGTGCGTTGGACGAGGGATTTCTATGGGGTGATGTTGCGGATGCGTCTGGGGGGCTGAGGAGGAGGATTGTCAAGGGCGTCAAGAGGTTCCAGATGGGTGGGGGTGAGGATATTAGGGGGGCGGTGGTGGGGGAGGGAGGGGAGTATGAGACGCTTGCTGTTGATGGGCCGGGGTTCTTGTGGAAGGGGAGGATTGATATTGCTGATGAGGGGAGGGAGGTTCGAAGGGGTGAGGGGGGTGTTGGGTATTTGAGGTTGAGCGGGGCGAGGGTTGTGAGTAAGAGTCAGGATGAGGAGGATGGGGTTACGCCGGGGGATGTGAGGAGGCCGGTGTTGTTGGATGGGGAATTTGCTGGTGCTTTGGATGGGTTGTGGGATGGTGACGAGGGAGGGGGTGAGGAGGGTGTGGCTATGAGGGAAGATTATCGAGCGTCTTGGACGTTCGACGAACCAGTTCAGTCCGTCAACGGCGGTTTATGGACAGTAGCCAACATTGCAGCACCTGAGGTTGGTCCTGGGGCAGCTGAACAAATGGCTGCGATAGTGAGGAAGATCCAGAAGGTCCTGGCTACGCCCATCACGAACGGGACACTCAGGTCAACAGCCGATATCGTATTTACTACGGTCCTCCTTCGCTCCATGGCGGACTTCCCGTCAATGAATGGTATCTACGTCTCTCTATTTGATAAGCCGAATCCGCCAGCGCGAGCTACGGTGGCATGCGGTGATAGCCTCCCCGAGGGGGTAAATGTGATGGTTTCGATGGTTGTTGATCTGGGGCCGCGGGCCCAAAGAGACGGCCTCCATGTCCAGTCGCGATCATACTGGGCCCCGGCCAATATTGGGCCTTATTCACAAGCCCAGTCTGTCCCTCTACAGGGGACAGAACGGGTGGTCTACATTGCTGGGCAGATCCCTCTGGAGCCGGCCTCCATGGATCTTGTTGAGGTAGAAAAACCTTCAGCACCTGGAGGACCATCATGGGCTGAGACATACAGCTTACGAGCTGTTTTGTCGCTTCAACATATGTGGCGCATTGGAGCAGCTATGGAGGTTGGATGGTGGCTAGGCACCGTTGCTTTCTTCACCGGGTCAGACCACACTAGAACCAGGGCTCAGCTTGCCTGGAAACTTTGGCAAAAAATGCATGACGCAAGTCTTCATGAAGATGAAGAGGAAGACGAGGATTCAACTCTGGATGTCTGGGACATCAAGTACGGACGCCGAGGGCACGAGCAGACACAAACAATATCGCGACCCCAGCTCCCTAATTTCGAACTGGTGGAGGCTAGCGAGCCCAAGACCCAAGTGCCGGCGTTTTTCGCGGTCCAGGTCCACGAACTTCCCCGGAACAGCGACATCGAGTGGCAGGGATTAGGCTACCGCTGCAACGGCGTGAAATTAACCAGGTCTGAAACGGAATTCGGGCGCACGACCGATGCCACCACAAACGAAAATTTCAAATACTCCTGCATCGAAATTGATAGCGCTGGTGCAGCAGACCTTGAATCGCAGATACAGCGCGTTCTGGAGGTCTATAAGCTGCAACCGGGGACGTCACACTGCATTATCTACACCAGCCAGCCCCTACCCCAAGACTGCTGCCAAGGGCAAATTGTCCCCTGCAAGTCTGTTTGGGGCGCCGAGGGAACAGAACTGGCCGCTGGTGTGATTATACAGAGACAGACATGACCGCGATAGTCACTAAAGCCGCGTAAAGCCCGGAAGAATGATACGATGATGGTGGCGTAAGATTCGAGAAATCCTCCGAACGTGGGTTGCTGCAATGCGATTATCCAACGTCTCTTGGGTGCATTGTTGATTGGCCGATAAGCCTGGCCTAAATACTCCAGTACACCAGTCAGAGTCTCCGGAATTGAGCGACTGTTGGTATTTCCGCTGTTCTAGACACAGTCCTGGGCCGTCGTACGTGTCGCCGCGCCGATTGGGCTGTCGCAGTGCAGGCTAGAGCTTTGTCCTCTACCCGGGTGAAGCTAAACTAGAACCCATGCTGGAAAGCGTTGAGACAAAATTCCTGAGAATAGATGAAATCTATAGGGGACATCATGAACAACGAGAATGGCCTGTAGTTTTGTAGTGACGGTGATGGAAGAAAGAGCGTTGTAGAGCTCGTGGAGCCAAGCATGTGATGGGCCAGAAAAAAGGTCCGCTCTCCGCCTCGATAACAGACAGCTGGAACCTCAACCAAACGCCCTCCCTGCCTCATGTTCCCATCTCATTTTACGTCTAACCACTAATTGCTCGTGCTGTCTATCCTGTCAGGTAAGCAGCCTAATCTCTTTCCGCCACTCTAATCGCGCCCCGCGGAAGAGGTTTTAACAACTGACCATCTGGGGCTAGTGTAGTGGCCTTTTTAACTTTGACCCTCACACGACCCGACCTCCAACAACGCCCGATCATGACGTCCCTCGCGTTATAAACACGACACCGATTCTCGATATCCATGGGGCCATGGCCTCCACGACAAGCCAGGAGGATGAGGGGCCGTCTCCGCACAACAATATCATGATACTGCCCGACCCGGACCTCGCTGACGATCTCCGATCATTATCGCGATCGCCTCACCCGTACCGCCGCAACGGCTCTGTGCACCACCGCCCACGAACCCGAACCTCCAGCGATAGCGGTACTGAGGCGGACGACGAGAGCACCAGTTTCAGTTTACTCAAGGGCCTGCCTCCGCCGCCGCTTCGATCGCGAAAGGGAGCTCGTCCGATTGGCGATAATGATTTTTGGCTGCCTGGGCTACAGCGATGGCGGTCAACATCGCGGAGCTCCCGACGGAGCTCCGTGGGGAATAACGAGGCGGATATATTAGAGATGAAGGTCAAGATCAAAACAAAGAGACGAGTTGAGATTATTCGGAGGGCGTTTGAGGCTGCTTTGCTGCTTTCTGTTGGTGGTGTGGTCTTAGGACAGGAGAGCGCGAGGTCGCTTGCGTGGGCTTGGAGGAAAGGTACGTTGAGTCAATTATCGAGTGATTCCTGCCGTTGCTGACTTGTGATTGCCTTGATAGAACTCGCCACATTTTCCCTTACGATTGTCGGAGTCTACGCTATATACCCGCTCAACAGGCACGGACGTTTACGGCTCTCCAGATTTTTGTCCTTTGATATCCCGCATAGCTTCGACCCCGCGCCGCTTCTATACCCGATTCTTATTCCCGTTTACGTTTCTCTGTCCTTGTCGAATCACGAGCCGTCATTAGTACTACCGAACATACTACTTGCTCTCGCCTCGATACCACCGCCGGCGATCCCTATGCACGACTTGGTGCATGGCCAGGGTGTCGCGCACTGGCTCCTGACGCTACTCCCCATCCTTGTTTCTGAGCAGTTATCCTGGGGTAACATTCGACCTAGACCTCTTTCTCTTCGCGGTCTCAATTCTGAAGCTTTGACTCTTGTTTTTCCTTTGCACCAAGCATTGATACCCACTCTAGATTTCCTTTTGTCTACCAGCATTCTTCCAGCGGAACTGCAGCTACTCACGACTGCTCTTATTAATCTGTTTTTATACGCCACTTCACCTCAAGCGGAAATTCTCAAATCGCTGCTATGGCTGGGCAGCCTGTGTATTTTTATCTCTTGCCGCCAGGTCCTCCACTGGGAGGTTGCTCTAGCCCGGATACCGAGCTGGAAATTTAGACGGTCTCCCAGCGGCTCGAGCTCGCCGAAGAACATTCTGAATCTGCTGGATCACAGGATCTGTCAGAAGCTGAGTCGGGCTGGTTCTTCTGAAGAGCCTACCTCGGACAGCGACTCGCCGGACAGCCATCTGACATCAACCTCGCGTCGAACGCCGCACGAAGCTCGAGAAAAGACTCCCGAGAGTCCTACTGAAAACATTGCCCTGGAAGACTTTAACCAACGGCGGACCTCTGCCAATTTCGAAGACGTCCTACGTTCGGAAAAGGCTAGGACAACGCCAAAAGGACGACGGAAGCGATCAATTGCACCTAACATCGCATCTTTCCTCACAATGACTGTTCCGCAAGTCCAAGTTCGCAAATGGCTCTATGCGTTGTACGTGTACCTGGCCGTCTTTGCTGTTGTTCTTGGGCCAGTGCGCAGGTATGTGGGCGAGCGGGCATTACAGGGAGAGGACCCTTTCGGATGGGCGCTGGGATACCTGCTTGGAAATGTCTCCTGGTTCAGGTTCTGGGTCATCACCTCGAGCCTGGAACGCTGGATCCCCATACCTCCCCGGCAGGACCCCAGTTTATCCAGTGCGTTCTGTCATCTCGGACGGGCAGAACATCTTCGTCAAAGCACCTTTGGAGAGGCCAGTACACGCCTCATCATAATTGCGTACTGCCTAGCCGTTCTTGTAATCGGCATTGCGACCGTCATTCGGCTCGGCACCTTCGCCGAGGTCGACACAAGGCGCAAAGTTTTCCATGGCACCATGGTGCTAATGTTCCTCCCGACTATCTACATCGACCCAGCATTCTGCGCCCTTGCCATGGCTTTAGTCCTAGCCATCTTTCTCCTACTAGACCTCTTTCGCGCCTCCCAACTTCCGCCAATATCCCGACCATTGACCTACTTCCTCGAGCCCTACGTCGACGGCCGAGACTACCGTGGCCCCGTCATCGTCTCCCACATATTTCTCCTCATCGGAAGCGCCATACCCCTCTGGCTCACTCTTGCCGACGTCTCGCGCACAGGCGATTTCCCCTGGACATCATGGGATGTCCAGACGCGCGACGCAAGCATGCTCAGCGGAATTATCTGCGTCGGTCTCGGCGACGCAGCCGCTTCTCTCGTCGGCCGGCGCTTCGGCCGACGGAAGTGGTTCTGGGGCGGCGGCAAATCCGTTGAGGGCAGCGTCGCATTTGCAGTTGCTGTTACTGCTGGATTAATGGTTGCCCAGGCCTGGCTTGCCCTCGGGCAGTGGCCTGTTAGCGGATATGACGGGCCGAAACCGTTTTCCTGGCCCGGGGCCCTGGCTAAGGCCATTCTTGCAGCGGGTGGTGCTAGTGCGACTGAGGCGGTTCTGACGGGGTGTAATGATAACGTCGTTGTTCCTGTGGTGTTGTGGTTGCTGGTAAGGGGGCTGGGACTTTAGATTATAGACTGTCTTGCTATTTATGGCTAAGATAATTGATGATAACATCTGTTATGTATAACATGAGCTTAAGAGACATTTCTGCCATATTAATGATAGATGAACGAGAGTCCACTAGTGTGAGACGATCAATTTACCCAAGCCATGACTTCTTCATTTTTCATACTCGATGAGCAATAAAAATAACCAACCTAACGCCAATACCTAAAGAATATCAATGAACAACCCAGTCCTTAACTCCATCTATACGCAACCCGAGCCATTCAAAGCCCGTAACATCGAATCCAAACAACGCTCTCAAGCGGACGCCACAGAAGCCGCACTTGCCGGCCTGATAAACGCCCGAAGCGCCTTCTTCGCATCCCCCTCATTCGCCTTCAACAGCTCCGTCGCTTTGATCTTACTCAGGTCCAACTCGCTCACCTATGTAAAGAATCCAAGTCAGCCCCAACTTCCCAGCCCACCCAAGCACATATCCATAGCCAACGTAGAAGGGCACATCCACAAGCACATGCAGCAGCACATACCAACAACCCCACATCCTCCGCAGAAACCTTAACCGCCGCAACAGCCTTCTTCTTCCCCTCAGCCGCCTTACCCACACTCGCACCGCCACCCTTCGCCGCTGTCGTGGCACCCTTCCCCTTCCCACCACCAGCCGCCATCTCAAGCCGACCCATCGCCTTGCCCAGCGCCTCCTGGTCCGCAGACGAAGGCAGCTTTGAGCCCGGGGGCGTAGTAGAGGCTATTTCTGTGGTGTTGAGAGAGGATAGGGCGGCCGCGGCTTTGCGGTCTTCGGCGGCGGCGGAGGAGGAGGGGGGTGGGGGGTCGGATGATGTTGTGGCGGAGGGGATGGGGTCGGACATTTTGGGGTTATGTGCTGATTGTTGGGTGGAGGGTTAGTTGCTGATTGTTGGGCGGGAATGTAAGAGAAGGAATGTATTGATGAGGTGTATAGATAAGGGGAGTTAGTTGTGTTTGTCTGTAATGATGATGTGGGGTGAGGAGGAGAGGAGTGCGGGGAGGGGAGAGGATAGCTTGGGATGGGGTGGTGCCATCATGTGACTGGGCCTAACAGACAAAGGAGGAGCTTGCTGTTATAGGATGGTTTCTGGGGAAGCTGGAGCTACGGAGTACTTCCTATGTTGCCCTCCGGTTCTCGATCAATAATAAGGTATGCTGAGGATGCCTGGATTCAGTATATGCCGAACAGATCAATTGACCAGTTTATGAGGATCATCTATTCCAAATCATAATCTAATCAGTGAGGCTCTGTCTTGTTTTGCCATAAATCATGATCGTGTCTCGCATATACAGGCATCATCAGTTTGTATGTGCATGTTGATTTTTGAAACATCCAAATTCATGTCATGGCTCGTTCAGTTCGTGCCAAGTTCGTGTAGGGTACGGTCGAAGCGGTTTATAGGTACGTAGTACAAGTCTGCACCTCACCTCCGCTCCTCCTCCTCTTCGGCTTCCTCCCTCTCAACAATCAGATCCTTCGTCCTATCGATCCCCCTTCCCTCATAAATCGTCCCAAGCAAAAGCCAGCCTAGCAGCGCTTCAATCGCCAACGCCCACCACACCCCACCGACAAATTTATACATAAACCCCAGACCCAGCCCCCATCCGCCCAGCAGCGGTCCCAATGTTCGTGCTCCGCTGGAGATACTCGTCGCAAGACCGTTAACTGTGCCCAGGATCGACGCATCGGTAACGCTGTTATTAACGAGGATCACAGCCGCGGGGAGCGCAAAGGTCCTGGACAGCACCTGAAGTCCTACGACAAGCGTGAAGGCCGGCCAGACGAGGTACGGATAGTTTGGGATCAGGACGAGGAAGGGCATAAGCGCGTACGAAAGTGGCGAGAATGGGAGGAACGTGCGGAACGAGGTGAGTGTTCCGAGACGGTTCTGGATGCGCGGGTAGATGAATATCTGGAGCGGGAGGCCGATGATGCCGATGATTGCTGTTGCGAGACCAACCCGTGACGAGGGAAGTCCTAGACCGCCGCCGAAGCGAAAGAAGCCCTTCTGGCTGGATTCTGGGGCGCGCGGGCTCGGCAGGAAGATGAAGGTCATGGAGTTGAAGGCGCTCGTGTGGAAGGCGAGAAGGAACTGGACGAGGAGCGTCAGGAGGACGTTGCGCGAGAAGAGTTGGCGGTAGTTGGTGCCCTTGCGACGATGGACGCGCAAGCGGACGGGGCTTGGTGGAATTGATCTGGTTGTCACACTTTCATCAACTAGAAGAGAGGTATCGTCGGGATAGTCCGAGATAGAACGGTATTGGTGGTATCGCCGGCGTCGAAAGACCCTGAATAGTCGGCGACCGAGCTTACGACCCCAGTCGCTTCTGTACCGGGCGACTTCGTGCGTCTCGTCAAGACCGAGGAACACAAAAGACCACGAGATGAAGATGAAGATAGCGCTGACCAGGTTCGGGAGCAAGAACGGCCAGTGCTCCATCCACCACACACCATTCTCTCCTCCCAACACCGATCCAGGTCCAAATAACTGCGGATAGTTCTTACGCGGGTCCGCCAGCATTCCACCAAGAATTGGACCGATAATCACACCAATGTTAAAGCACATAGGCAAGAGAATGAATGCCCGCGATTGGTACCTGTTCGACTACATCAGCGTCTTCATGCCCTTGACAGAAGGAGAGGACACACACTTCTTCTCCTCAATGCTCTCCGAAATCATCGTCCTCATAACACCCGCATTACTATTCAACGCACCCCCCAGCGTCCGAAACACCGCGGCCGCCGCAAAACTCCTCGAGAACCCAAACCCCAGGCACGAAATACAAGTGCCCAACAGCCCAATCAGCAGCACGCGCTTCCTCCCCAAGACCTCGCTATCAGCAAGGCGACCCCACACAACAGCGGTCAGAAACTGCGCCGCCGTGAAACTCCCCTGCAGGATACCCGCCTGCTTCGAGATGGTCGATTCAGGCAGCGACGGGTCAAACGACCGCAGCTGGTAGAACAGGTACGCTTGCAGGGACGTCTGCGTGAGCGGTTCAGAGAGCCGCGCGATGGTCAGGATCGCAAGCTGCCCCTTGTTAGGCAGCGAGGACCAGGTTACGGGCTTTTCATTGGGCGCGTTGTAGACAGGGTCGTCCTCGTCGCTGTCGCCTGGATCGCGTGCCCAGTGTTCTTGGTCTTCAGGGACTGGGGCGGGTTCTAGGACGCGGAGGCGAGGGGTGCTGGTGCTGTCGTTGGTGCTGTCGTGAATTGCGGTGCGGACGCTCCTGTTGTCGGTCTCGGTGGCGGTGTCGGTTTCGTCATCGTCGTGGTAGGCGTCTTGGGTGTCGATGTGCGTTTCTGCGGTGGTGAAGGAATCTACATGGTCTCGGTAAGGACTTGCGTCATGGTGTTGACTGACTCCCATCAAAATATAGGTTGATAAAGAATATATATCAGAAAATCTAGAAGGAATCAAGGCAATGGAAGATAAACAGTCAACAAGCGGAGAAGTTGGAGAGACGATAAATAAAGATCCAGGCCGGGTATCGGCTCGGACTGCGCTAAGCCACGTTGGGATCTGCACTGCCAGTCTACAGTAGACCGGTGAGGCCTGAGTGTGGCTTCAAAGGTGGGATTTCAATAGACTACCCTCCAAGCGCGAGGAGTTTCTCCGGCACCGCAGAGGAAAAGGCAGGTCAATTTGGTAAATATGATGCTCAATGGTGCTACTTTGGGACAGACTGACGCCATCGCACGCTTCTCCAACATGCGAAATACCAAAACAAATGCAAAAGCACAGCCTGAACACCTGAAAACACAGAATAACCCAAGCAAGGTATAATCAAACAGTAAGTAACTAGGCTCTGGTAAAGCTAACAGCAAGAAAGCAGGGGAATCCAAACAATATCGCCTAATCATGCCGACTTCCTCCAGTCATCTCCACAGTGCTCTCGATCCCTTCCCACGGGAGCTCGGAATCGTCGTCATCCATATCATAATCCGTACCATCCTTGCGAGAAGACTTGTCAGTGGTGCCCGTCACTTCGCCTAGCCTAGGGTTGGGATCGATGCCGATCGATTGGAGCGTCACCTCCATCTCCTGCTCGGTCATCTCCTGTCCGCGCTGTTTCTGGCCCTCAAGAACGTCGTATAGAGCGTATATTTGGTCGGCCTTCATGTCAATGTCCTTCAGCAGCTTCTCTATCTTCTCTCCAAGCGTCTTCCTCTGTCGCTTGCTAATAGACGCGTCCAGTTTGTTGTATGCGCCTTGGTAGGAGACAAGTTGAATCCTCAGATGGGAGAGCTCGTCTTCCAGCGCCTTTAGCACGGTAGCGAGGGCAATGGCTGGGGCCTGTGCAGGTCGCAGAGTAGGCTCCTCGTTGTATATAGACGGTTCAGGCATGCGCTCCGAGACAGGAACAGGCTTGGGAATTTTGACAGCATCGCTGGTGTGCTCACAGCCTCCGTCAGGAATGGACTGCTTGCATACGGTGCAGTTCTTTCCACTATGTTGTGTAGCGCGGTTGAGCGCCCGCTGGGTAGCCTCGGGAAGCTTGGTAAGATTCTCGGCCAAATCGGCGTGTCGCAGCGTGATGTCAGGGAGAATGAAAGCAGAAGTCATCTCCTCGGCAATACGACGGCGTCTTCGCTGAGCCACGGGCGTAACAGAGTGTTCCGAGTGTCGCCTTGTTCGCTCTGCAGGAATTGTGAGGTGGCTATCGCCTTCCGTTGCGCTTACTTTCGAATTGGCAGTCAGATCTCCTAGAGCGGAGGCAGGTCGAGGCACAGGCGCTTTGGTCTCTTTCATGGATGACTTGCGAGGCGCAGGCTTCAGCGCGCTCTGACGGGTGACGTTGTCGGTCTCGCCCGTTGTGTGCTCCGGGGCAGGGTTCGATTGTCGCCGCTTGCGGGCCAGGCGTTCCTCTTCGAGAGTCTTCCTCAGCTGAGCAATCTCACGCTCGTCGATGAAGCTCAATAAAGTCAGGTCTTGCTCCGTAGTCGACGATTTGCGGGTTTGTCCAGTTGTCTCTTTGGTATGTGCAGTTGGTTCTTTGGTATGTCCCGTTGCCTCGGTGGTGGAATCGAACGGTCCGGTAAGCTCGACTTCTTCGACCACCACTCTCTTGACACGCCTTCCTGTTGACGGTTTCCTGGTTTGTACGCTGGTTGATCGAGGTCGAGTAACCTTCTGCTTCTTCGAGGTGGATGACTCTCTCACTCTTGGCAGTTCGATTGAAAAGAGTTCTTCATCGGCACGTTCCCTCTCCAGACGCGAGATCTCTCTGTCAACCTGGCTTGAGACCCTGGTCCTGGTATCCTCTCTGCGGCTCTTCGACTTTGACCGCGCACTTTTAGCGGTGGCGTCCTTGGTGGTGCTTCGTCGTGTGTCCATTTGGCTATCATCTGCTTCTGCACTGGCGTCGCTAGCAGTGTTCTGGTCATACTCCGCAGTATCCTCTCGAACCTTCACGCTTGCAAGCACCTGTGCGAACCGAGCCTTGAGCTCAGTGATCTCCTCCCTCAGTGCTTCGTTTTCACTCTTGAGGTCCTGGGACTCAAGGTACGCCACGCCTAGCTGAGAAACAGCCATGTCGCGCTCTTTGTTTAGTTTCTTCAATGCAGCCTCCTGAACATCACTCTTGCGTTCAAGAAGATCAACTTTATTTTGGAGTGCCAGATTCGTTGATTCCAGCTCTAGAGGATTGTTAGCGCTGAACGTCCATGTTAGTGGGCAAGGCTTACTTTGGTTCTCGTTGATCAATCGGTCCTTTTTGTAGTCGTTCTGCTCAAGTTCATAACGTTTGCCGTGGCTCTCCCTCTCCCTACGAGACTTTCCTCCCTTCAAGAAAGTGTTTTCCTGTCGCAGATCATCCAGCTTCCTCTCGGCATCGGCCTTGGCCCTTTCGAGCTCCGAAACCTTATCTTGTAGGAGCCTCAGTGATACAAACAGCGCCTTCTCGTCTTCTGGAATTGGGATCGCGTCAAGTGGCATGTGTTCACGGCTGAAGGAGGCTTCTGTCACATCCGCAGGAGGTGAGACAAAACGCGTCGTCCTGGTTCTGGGTTGTCGTGTGTACACTGGCGTGCCGTCTTCGTAAACACCAGAGACAAGATCTGACAGATTGGGCAAGTCGGGAAGAAGGAAAGATTGTTGAGTGCCGGTGTCGCCTCCAGCATTGGCAGACGCACGCGCCTTTGCTCGACGGGCCTCCTTCACATATGCTTCCTGCGACGCGCGTTCAACAGCATCGGCAATCTGGTGTGACAAATTCGCGTTGCCAAACCGTGTCGGACGCGACGTGCTCGTACTAGCAACAGGGGGACGTTCATCTTCGAGGAATGATCCGTCATATGAGTCGCGGACCTTGGCGTGGATCTCGGACAGGGTTCGTCGTTCTTTGCGATTGGATTTGGAGGGTGGGTTGGGATCGATGTTTTCCTTGTGAGCAAGAGCCGCTTGCCTCAACTGCGCGTCTTTTCGGAGATTTTCGCTAACGGCTCGCCTGTTGGCAGGGCGCATGGCGGATTTCTGGGGTGTGGGAACGTCAAGGCGGACGGCGGGAGACGATGAGCGGACACTGTTCTCGATGCTCATGTAGGAATTGCGCGAGTCGTCTAGTCGGCGCGGTGGGTTAGACGGGCCCCGTCCTAGCTCAAGAGAAATGTCGTCGTCCATATCGTTGCCCTCTTCTTCCTCCTCGGATGTTCCTATCGGCGAGAAATGTGGGAGGTATTGTTCAAATGTGGAGGTGTTGAAAACATAGTCTGGTTCTTCTTCTTCGTCGACCTGCGACAGCTTCGTATACGCGCCTTTCATCTTGGGAAGGCGTGGGCTCTCGTCAAGTTCTCTGGTTGAGGCAATGGCTTCGTGTTCGGGGTCGAAGTCAGACCCGAAAGACGCGAAGCTGTTGGCCGTGTTTTCGCGCGACATGGTCTGCGACGCGACGGGTTCGAGGAAGGATACTCGAGAGAACGAAGCTGAAGGTGGGAAGGCCTCCGCTTCTTATCTCGAGGGGCTAAGATGTATCTGCCTCTATGATATGAAGTGAGTGAAACAGAACAGCGCGTCGGGCGGGCTCCGCTGATCGAACAATAATCACGGTAAATGGGGAGGCTGGGCTGGGTTTGTTTACGAATGCCCCGTGCCAGGCCACTCACCGCCTTCTGCCACATGTCCGGCCCAGGAACGTGCCAAAGCAAAACCAAACTCAACGTCTCTACCATGGTAAACGCCGGGTCAGAAATAGTAACACTATGAAGTCAGAAGAGAATTTGTGCTATTATAAATACGGGCAACTATATGTGCAACCAAGTTCGTTATATGCTTTGTCCCAATTGCGATGCCTCCCAAACGCCTCGCTATATCCATCACGAAAATCCAAAACTGGAGACAGAAATATCATAGACAATCTTATAGTCGTAGCAGGTCATATCCATAATGTAGCACCGAGGCACTAGGTCACCCTCGCGGCGGGTTTGTGCCACTATCGCTTGGAGAGCTTGACCTCGTCGTTTCTGCTGGAGTATGCTGCGATGATGTGCTATCACTATGGGATGAGCTACTAGCAGCAGTTGCGGGTGTGGGCTCTTGTGGTTGTGCTTGTGGGATAGGCGTGGGAGGTTCGTTGCTAACCGGGCTTACTACGTCAATCTGAATCGTAGGTAGCGTAGTCAACTCGCGTAATCGAGGCGGGCCGTCGGTTTGTGACGAAGTTGGAGGCTCGTACGGAGGAGCATCTCCCCAATCCAGATGGTCGTAGTCCGGAGGGGGGATATGCCGCGTTCCAACGTCCCCATCCTCAGGTTCTGCATTTGGGTTGTTGACTGAGTGCAGCGAAGTGGTGTGCGACTGGGTAAGGGTCAGGCCCTCCCCGTCGGATAAGGCGGAAGAATAGGATTCGCCACGAGAGTGTACGCTGATAAGCCCAGACGACCGGTCCGGGCCTTCACTCATCCCGGCGGCGTCGTTCAATAGGGGCCGAGAGTCCGAATCGCGTGAGCTGGCTCGAAGACGGGAACCATCGTGCCGGACATAGCCTACATCAGCATAGGTGACACTGGAGATCCGCCTATCGCGACCTCGACTCTGAGCCTCCGCTAATGCTGTGGCCGCCGACACCGAGGTGGTGTTCCCGTTGACAGACTCTCGACTGTTGGCTCGTGCGCGGCGACTCTCCACCCGAAGCTGCTCGAGACGGAGTGAGTCCCCGCGCTCGCGGGCTTCACGACGCTCGCGACGTCGAGCCTCGCGGTCAGCAATCTCCTGTCGCCGCTGCAGCCGGATCTGGTACAGCGATTCCATCATTTCCTCGCGCCGATCTTCCTCTTCTTCCGCTGTCTCCGGGAATTCAACCACCATATCCATTCCTCCACGTTCTCCCTCCCTGGCGATCACTTGCTCTGTGGGCTTTGGAGTTGACGAGTAGGCAGGCAGGGTGATGATAGAGCGAATCGAGGTATCGCGACGGATTCCGGCGTTAGACTCGGTTTGGGGGGCTCCTTCGGTGGTTTGGGCGGTTGCAGTCGCACCGGCTCGATTGGACGATGAGCCGCCCGGTACCTGGCCGTATGACGCGCCAACGTTCCATCGCGTCCACCTGTCCTTGAGGAATTTTCCGGGTATGTATTTCGGGCGACAGTCCATTCTTCGGAGAGCACGTAGGACAAAGTAGACGATCGCTAGAAAGGCGACGGCGAACACCACGACGGCAACAACCTACCCCAACGCAAGTCAGTACATAACAGAAACGTGGAATTCGCTCGAGAAATGAACACCCACGATAATGACCACGTTACTATTCGGGCCTCCGCCGCCACCTTGCGAAGAGTCGTCATTCCTGTCTGTCCCATTGTTTGGGGGTTCACGGGGATCCGAGCTTTGACGAAGCTCGAGCTGCCGTAGCGGGATTGGAATCAGCATGCTGTGAGGAGGGACAAGGAAGAGCGAGACCCCGGTCAATGCTCAGTCCAACGCATGTAGGATAATTAGGAGGGTCAAAAATAGCGAGGAAAATGATGAAATCGAGACCCAAGCCTTTCCTTGCTGACTTGCTGACCGAACCAGGCAGAGAAAAATACAGCGGCCTTGAGCGGAACGAGCACGGAGTCGGCGGCTGGTTGACAGCTGGGTGTCGGTGTGGGTCAGTCTGACGTTGAGAGTGATACTAACAAGATGAAACAAACGCAATGTAAATATACTCCGTGGATGGAGTCCGTACGCAAATAAAAGGAGGAAAAGGATGAAATCACGGAGTTAGTTTGTCGGACAGACCCTCATGAGAGAGGAGAAGGGAGAAGAAGCATCGCCGCAGGGCTGGACGGTGGCACGCAGAGGAGCCAAGTCGAGTCTAGGTCATAGCCAGGCCAGGCGTCCAGCATGCATGCTGTTATAATTGGAAGAGGCGCGATACGGAGTAATCATCGTTGGCTGAGCGATGCCCTGCCATCTCTTCATTGGCGCTGATCGCACTGTGGTGGCTGGGCCAGCCTGGAGCCGTGGACTCCGACGAGAGTCGACGGAACTACGGAGCACTTCGTACTAAAGTACGGAGTAAGGAAATAGAGAATTGACTGGGGATTCATATAGTCAGATTGACTAGCCGCGCAATAACCGCATTTTCAGATTCGATGAAAGCACTCAGTACGTGGTTGGTTCCCCGGATTCATGAATCATGGAGATTCGATTGCATTTCCGTCCATGTATTACATAATCATCTCTATACAGGCCGCATTAGGCAGGAAGTAACGCACACCTTACGAGTATACTCCCTACGCACAACTACGGGAACTTTCGAGATGCTGACATGAAAAGTAGTATGGCAGCAATTTCTTTTACCAGATAGCCTCATATTAGATATCCTGAATGAGATGATAGCCTTTGGAAGGCATGTAACCCTAGCTACCAAAGTAACAGCAACACCAAGTCATACACGGACTGCGGGTCCAATCATTGTTCAAAGACCATTTACTCATAAAGCCATTAATTATTCTTAATGTCAAGTTGCGAGAGAGTTTCCACCTCTTGCCAACATTTTGGCAATATATGTGTTTGCACTGCTGGAACATGTAGACTTGTCTAGTACGCTTGATCAACCAGTACAATCGGCCATCAATTGAGGACTATGCTTGGTCGCTTCCTTTCGCCAAGGTAATATTCATGACTTGCTTTTGTGTAGTATGACCTTGTTAACAGAGAGGAAAATTCTTGATCAACACCTGCCACAACCCCTTGTAGTTAGGTCTTCCCAGTCACGTGGATTCACCATGGCAATGAGACAAGAGCATGGCATGCCCAAACTGCCTGAACTACAGTCCAAAGTGGTTCGATCTCTGACTTCAAAATGCTTCCAACGAGCCAGTCACAGTCAAAGACCGGCAATCAATCACCGAATGCATGCATACCTTTTTCGAGGGAGCCGCCTAGGTAGGGTAGTCTTGTACTGCACACTCGCAGCCGTCTGACAGGAATTAGCCAGATCACTAAAATCTCTGTCGTGATAGGCCTTTGCCATATAAGAGTGGTGAGACTATTCAGGTTGAGACTGTTGGCACACATTGCTATATTTTTGTTGCATTCGAAGCATGTTAGGGCTGTCATAGGGCTGGTTAGTCACCTATCTTATTTCAATCATTTGATTTCACCATGTAATGAGCACGACTTGCCCAAAATTAGGGAGTCAGTGCAGGATTCTAAGGCGGTTTTACTGTTTATATAAGGTCCTCTTGGATGGTCAGGATAGTCTGGCTCTTCGTGTCCTTAGGGCTAGGTCAGGGCCCTTGTTTAGAGCAAAGAGATGTTGGAATCATATAATAAATGTGGAGAATGGAATCAGATCCTCATTCAGACTTCTTTGATGGCATGAACAAAACGGTGGCGCAGCTTGGAGTGCAGCCTACGGGAGTAGGTAGCTACTGCGCCACCTGTACAAGTCATCGTGCAGCTATAAAGTTTACAATACCCCTCCCACTCACCTATCGCCAGATCTATCTCATCATCACAGCATCTTCAAGTTTTAACCCACCTTGACCATCAATCCAGGGATTTCCTAAACCATCCATAATGCTCGAGAACACTGTTCCAGAGGGACACTCATCCCCGCAATCCCACCAAAACACCGAAAACGCATCTCCGCTGCAAGCTTACCTCAACACCCTCCGCGATTCTAGCTCTCCACTATCCACAACAGTCGAAGCGCTACACTCGCTCTTCACAAACCCAATCCACAAGCTCACACCCTCAATCACCCCAGCCGGCAAACGCCTCTTCAGCATCACCAACACCGAGAACCCCTCTCTATCCGGCACCGCAGACCTCAACACCCTCGGCCGAATCCACCTAGTCGCCGCAGACCGGTGTACGCGCGCGCACGCTCCCCTCAAAATGCGATTCATGCATGCCTCTCTCGACGAGCCCATCGAAGAACTATACGGCGAGAGCGAGGACCTCCTGCGCGCGGGACTGAAAGACGGTTCTGTGGTGTTCCCGCCTCTCGATGAGAACGAGAGGGGCGTGTGTGCTTGCTGTCGGGGGGATCCAGACGCTGTGATTCTGTGCAGCTTTCATCATAATGAGGCGCTGTTCTTCTTCGAGGACGAGTATAGGGTGCTTTTTGGGGAGGAGAGGGAGTGTGGGAGTCGGAGTGGGGGTGGGGAACGTTGGCTTATGGCTAGTAAGGAGCAGATTGAGAGGAAGATTGAGGAGGAGGAGAAGGCGATTAACATGGAGAAGGAGAGTAAGCTTTGAGTTTACAGGTGTGCAGAGGATGGGTTTGTTTGGATTGGGGAATGGGAGCTGGTCTACTTTTCGTTTACCTCACCTAAGCTTGGGGGTTCTCTGTAATGTTAAGACAGATGGGTCATGGCCTTGGGGTATCAAAATACCTACGCCCTCATCCCGAGGCGTCATGGTCGTTTGATTTGAGAATGGGAGGCTTCTGGGCCTGAGGGATACCATCAAACCCACGTTAGGATGACATAAGAATAAACCCATGCGTATCAGTGTTGATAATAGTACTTACTTTCATGATCTCAAGTGGTATAACAAGCGTAGTCCAGACGCAAATAAGTATAGCATAGTCAGAGGGCAATGTTATTGGCTGAGTTCTTGACTTTGTACCCTTCAAAAATGTATACACCTCGAGACAGTCGCATTCGCCCGTTCTGTACCAACATCACAAGCACACGTCACGCATTTGTTCCCTGAAGTGGCCACTCGGCATTCTTTTGACCGAGATCGTACGTAGCAGAGTAGAGTAATGCGATATCTTTGGCTGTTCAAAACCTGAGTATAACCTCGGGCCCGGAAAAGCAACTGCTTTTCCGTGTGTAGATGCATCTCGCTGGAAATCAGATTCCCCGCGTTCTATACTTCCCTGCGGGGTCTCAGACAGATAAATATGGAGACATCCCCGGACCTTCCCTCGAGCATCTTCTCACATACCACTTGGTAGCTACTTTCGTCCTTGCAGACGCAAAATGGCTCCAACAAACCTCAGCGACATCCAGCCCCCGGCCACAGAGGCCATCCCTACCAAGTCAATATCTATACCATCAACCCGTCTCGAAAAGCCACCCCAAGTCCAAGTCCTAGGCAAAACCAAGAGTGGCAAGACGCTCAAGATCCGCAGCTACCCGGTCTTCGACAACCTCGAGGACGAGCGCCTCTACCGCAAGCAGCATCTCGCCGCAGCATTCCGCATCTTCGCAGACCGAGGTTTCGACGAGGGCGTTGCAGGGCATATCTCCGTCCGCGATCCAATTCTGACGGACCATTTCTGTACGGTTGGCCCTGCCAAAGGAGGAATTTACCGACCTGACTGACGTGTACAGGGATTAACCCCCTCTCCGCACACTTCTCGCTAATCAAAGTATCCGACCTCGTCCTCGTCGACGAAGACGGCAACGTCGTTGAAGGCGACGAACCCGTCAATCTCCCCGCCTTCGCCATCCACAGCGAGATCCACAAAGCCCGACCAGACGTGAACGCCGCATGCCATGCCCACAGCGTCGCCGGCAAAGCCTTCAGCTGCTTCGGGCGGGAACTCGAAATGATTACGCAGGACTCGTTGCGTTTCTACAAGAGCCATGCCGTGTACCGCGAGTTCCGGGGCGTGATATTGGATGGGGAGGAGGGGAGACGGATCGCCAGGGCGCTGGGGAACGGGAAGGCTGCGATTCTGCAGAATCATGGCCTGCTTACTGTTGGAGGGAGTGTGGATGAGGCGGCGTTCTGGTTTATTAGTCTAGACAAGACGTGTCAGGCGCAGCTGCTTGCTGATGCGGCGGCCGCCGGGGGGTACAAGAAGATTCTGATTAGTGAGGAGGAGGCGGAGTATTCGGCGCCGCAGGTGGGAGGGCCCGAGAAGGGGTGGTTGGCGTTTCAGCCGTATTATGATGAGCAGGTTGCGAAGACGAAAGGGGAGTTTTTGCTGTGAGCGTAGTCAGGTACTCAGTTTACTCCGTCTGTTGTGCGTATAGATCTGGATCTGAAACAGCCCCACTCTGACGTCTACCCCTCTTCCGAGTCCCGCCAGCTCTTCCTCTCTCTTCCTTACTCATTCTCACATCATCACCGCAATTTCCTCCTTCAGTTCTCTCTCAATTTAACGACCTGCCTGTTCATTTCTCTTCTCTGAAACAATTCGAAAGGAAAAAGAATGGACCGCTCCAAGAAACCCGCTGCCATCGGGGTCACCGCAACCCCGCCCCAACCAACAATCTCCCTTGCCAACAACGTCGTCCAAGCTACCCTCCCCTCCGGAGAGTCCGTCACCGTCAACCTCAACGGCGCAACAGTCACATCCTGGAAGACTGCCTCTGGCACAGAGAAGCTATGGCTCAGTGAAGCCGCGGTCCTGGATGGCTCGAAGCCTATCCGCGGTGGAATCCCCGTTGTCTTTCCGGTACGTCCGCGGCATAAAACCAGGAACTGAAATCTTTAAGAAGAGCATCATACTGACATTTCGTGTGAAAAGGTCTTCGGCCCTCCCCCCTCTGACCACGCCACATCCTCCCTCCCTCAGCACGGCTTCGCGCGCTCCTCGCTCTGGGAATTCCTCGGCAAGTCCTCCTCCGAGTCCGCCGGTCGCACTGGCGCCGATGACACCGTGAAGCTCGACTTCGGGTTGTCGGCGGGACTGCTTAGTGATGACTCCAAGTCGAAGTGGCCGTATGAGTTTGGGCTTGTTTACAGCGTGACACTTTCGCCCGAGGGGCTGGGGACGTCCCTGCAGGTGCGGAACCAGGGAGAGAAGAGCTTTGAGTTCCAGGTGTTGCTGCATACTTATTTCGGGGTTGAGGTGGGTAGCATATTTCCCTGGTTGAGGCTGTGCATGGGAAGTGTAGGGCAACGGGCTAACAGCGTCTAGGACATTTCTCAAATCCACGTCAAGAACTTGCAGGGAAAGACGTACATCGATAAAGTCCAGAACGCATCCACACACACCGAGTCCAACCCCACTGTCCAGTTCTCTTCCGAGACAGACCGCGTATACAAGGAGCTTGACCCGTCGGTTCCCCTGGTTATCTCGTCTGGGGATAAGGAATTGTTCAGCATTACGCGCGAGGGGCTCAACGATGCGGTTGTGTGGAACCCGTGGATTGAGAAGGCTAAGGGCATGGGCGATTTCAGCCCAGATGATGGGTTCAAGAAGATGGTTTGTGTTGAGGCGGGAGCTGTCAATGGGTGGCAGGTGCTGGAAGCTGGTGAGTCCTGGGAAGGCGGGCAGTTTATCAAGAGTAAATAGGTAATATGACTCTGCGGAGTGGATATAACTAAAGGGAGAAGGAAAGGTATGGTGTTGCATTGATAAGCTAATGAGTCTGAATGAATGAACGACTTCAAGACATACCTACGACATACATACTTGGATATTTTAAGCATAGCAGAGAGACCTTTCACTATCATCCCCTATGTCTGCTAACAAGCACAACCCCTGCATTTCATACACCCGCCAGAGAAAGAGAGCTGAACATTTTCCACAAAAGATAATGTACCTCCGATCCATCAGGGAACATACATGCAAGAGATTCCGAGCTAGCCTGTTTGTTCCCATGTGGCTCAACCTTGCCCAGCACTACCCTATTGTATATACCCTACCTCTCCACGTGGGATACGCATGACGAAACTAGACAACAGCGGATAAATCTCAGGCCCAGGCAGGCCAGAGATCAATGTGCGGGCTGTATTCCAAGACTCCAGGCCTCTATAATCAGCATTCTTTCGTCCGTGTCCGTCGCAAAGCAGAGACATTGTGACCTGTCGACGGAGCCGATGATATGCAGTGACAAGTCACGACCTCAAAGTTTCTGAAAAGAAGAGTCTGTATCTGTATCGGGGGTTTAGAAGGCTCTGTGCTTACGCTCCGCTAGCTAGGCTAGGCTAGGCTAGGCTTCGGCGCCTCGATGCCGGTCTGTTATCATACCAAGTTAGAGGCATCCATTGGGACTACTGCCTACAGGTGCGAATGGTAAAGAGGAAGATGAGGAGCAAGACTTGACTGCCCAACCGACTGGTCTACACGCATCATGGAAAGGGAGGGGGGAATGGAATGCAACCCTACTCTACATCTGATATTCCTCATGAAGTTGTTGCTGTTCGGTCCCGTCAATGTTGAAGGAATATGGTATGTTGGGGCATTGGGCGGTTCCAGTAAGCCCTATCAAGTTGTATGCTAAGGTCTCCGAGATGGGAAGACGCAGTACAATGCTGGTTTGATCTAGGGGCAGGGGATGAGATTGATTCTTTACGCCTAGATGGGAGACAGAGCAGGTAGAGGTGATGGGTTGAATTAGCTGGCCATTACATACAGTATTATTTTGATTCGGGTTGCTTTGCTGGTCGTGTTGGACGAGGTAACACGAAGGGAAATGAAGCCTTGACCTGTTTAGAGTGAGCATAACTTTGTAAAGCCAATCCAATTCTTTGTTCGGCGGTGCTCAAGCATGGGCTTCATCAATAGAGCGCAAGCATACACGGGTCTGGTCAGATAAATTGCGAGGACGCCGGGCTGACGCTATGCTATGTATGTAAGGTATCTTCCATGAGCCCTACATCAAAGACAGCGTCCCAATCAAGGTCTGGCCAAATACTTTGCCAGTGCTTTGCTTGGTTGCTTCCAGAGTCTCTCCGTATATTGTCGTTTTTAGGGCTAAGATGTAGTATAGAGGAAGGGTAGGGGATATTCTGCAATTGATGTTCGCCAAGTTCGGTTTTCTTGACCGCTAGACTAGGCGCCTGCATTGAAGGCTGATAGCGGCAACCCATGCAGGGGACAAGCTAGGGGTGTGTCAGAATAAGCAGGCGAGACGTCAGCTGCATGAACAGCGACAGCTCATTGCACAGAAAATACTCGGTGTGAGTTGAGCTATGAATGGCGGTGGTTTTCAGGCGAGCGATAGTCGAGCAGGGATGATGCGGCGCCATATAAGCACCGAGAGAAATGTTTGTGAAGGAGAGAGGCAAAAAGGGTTCAGGGTTTGGGCAAGCACAGGAGCGTCCAGAGTGCAACGCGGCGTGGCGAAGAGTTCGAGCTTTCAGCTTCGGAGTATGACCCGACCTAGGTATCTAGGATGCGGCTGATGGTTACACCAGTGCTACCTAGGTCCGGGGAGGTGGGTGTTTTTCGTCCTTTCCCTGTACGGCAGTGATAGGGACCGAGGGAGGATGAAGAAATAATCATATATCCTATCTCGTGACGCGCATTTCAGTTGGTAGCAGCTCTCCACGTAGACTGTTGACTTCGGGGATGAAGTATAGCATCGAGGTGGAAGTGGGGTAAGTCGCCAGCGCTGAGTGTGGCGAGCAAGCAAACCCCTTGCGCAACCCCTGCGTCGCACATGCGCCGAGCCCCAGCAAGGTGCTCCCTGAGACACATTCCGAGAATGTCAGCGTCAAACGTGGCTGAAGTTTATTCATTCAACTCATAAGCATGGCCGGCTACGGCGAAGCCGTAAGCGATTGATAGTAGATGGCAGACGGAATAGATGATGGTATGTTTGGGATGTGGTTGGAATGTTTTTAGTACCACGCCATGCGATCGATCTCCGATGTCCCCGGATGCTGGGCGATGCCCGTGGAGCACAAATAACGTACCACCCAGCGGATAGTTAATTGGGCGGGTGCCTGGGTTGTTTTTGAAGCAGTCACGCGCGCAGCTCGTACATTAGCCGGTTAAGGCTAGTTTGGATGACGGAAAAAGGTGTCGGTATGTATTCAGCTTATCCATAAAAGTCATTGTGGCGGGCCTCTGAATCTTGATATCCGCGTGTTGCGTGACAGCCGTATGACATTTTGGTATATCCACGAGGCAAGATTGACGACCTTGATCGTTAGCCTTTAGGCATGTGTTCAATTTTGCGAACAGTTGTGGTTTGCAGGGCTGACCCGTTCATAAGCAGGGTGGTCGAATACCACTGCCGAATTTATCCATAGCGACCCGGCTGCTGAGCAGGTTCGATTGTTGAAGAACGAGCGAATGGCGGGAGAGAGCAAGATTGGAAAATCTGATTATGCCAGGTGCGTAGGAGTACAGAGCGACTGATAGCTAGTAATTACTATCCTGGCTTTAGTGGGCTAAGTCGGCCATTAGAGCACGCGCGGAAAGATTTGATTCCTGATCAACGCAGCCGCTGGCCTTGTAGGAGCCGAAGAAGCAGTCTCGGGATAGTAGCACGTCTTGCACAGAGGACACCGGGCTTGCCGTTTCATGAACCATGGGTCAAGACAAGTGGCATGGAAGATGTGACCACAGGTTAGAGCGCGAATGAAATTGTCGTCATCAAAGTCTTCCATGCAGATAGCGCACTCCCTATGGGCATCGCCATGGCTAGAAGCAATATCCTTCTCCACAGATGGGGACTGGACTTCTTTCTCTGCGGCGTCGAACGACGGAGCCGAGGGCGAGGCTGGCGCAGACTCTTGGCTCGGGTGAGGGCCTGGGTCGACCTCGATCTCTTTGGAAGATTCCTCCCGGTGGGCCGTTGACCAGGCGCTATATTTGATCAAGGGAAACCGCGCATTTAGATCGGTTGAGGTCAGGATGGCGTGGGGGAAGCCCAGCGGCCAGCCCTCTGGGTCGGTTTGGCGGTTGGATGCCCTAAAGCGCTGTCGCGTGCCGAAGATGATCCTGTATCGAAAGCTGTTCAGAATGAGACACAATATAGAACCAAGCAAGACATAGAGAAGGTTACCAGACGATGATGAAGAAGACGGCGACGCAGATTGGGGCCAAATAGCCCAAGGTGGCCCCCGAGGGTTCGTGCGAGTCCTGCGCCATGCTGCTAATGCTACCCAAGTGCGCTTAGTTGCGATTAGACATTAAAGTGAGATTAGACGATCTTATTCGTGATTCAATTGAAGGCCATATTGATACAGTGAGATGAGTTTGCGATGGATTGAGAGGGAGATGGAAGAACAGTGGTGACTGAACTGGACCGAAGTCAAGTCTCGTGTCTCCTGACAACCCCGCACCACCAAGACTTGGTTTACCAGCTTCGCCCACTGGCCATGATGCTTCTTCTATACTATACATCGTGAATCGATTCTAGAGAAGTTCATGAACCTCAACACCATCAGGCTCGCAGTATCCACTTCACAGTCACAGCTCTGACCTCTTATCGCGGTGGAGAACCCCAGACTCATGATGTTACATCCGCTAGATTAGGCCCCCTCAGGCTTACCGTATCTTACACCGACCCGCTGATAGCCGGCAGGATCTGATCAGTCATTGGTGGAGAAAGCTCCTATCACAGTGCAGGTAATTTACGCGCGTACGGCAATACAAGGTTATCTCTATTCAGTGGGTCGGCGGATTCCAGAAACTCACCTTAACTTCACTGATAACAACTCTGATAGCTGTCACTGATAGCTGGTCTTTGCATTCTTATTACCATCGCTGCTCTCCAATCCATCGTGGAGAGCTACAGAGAGCTTCGTCGCTCCTGCTGGCTACACGAATGGCTTCCGCCTCGCGCATCACGATCGCGTCGGATCAAGATTCAGTAACGTCTGGAAGGTCGACGCCACAGTCGACCCCGGATTCCAGCCAGTGAATGGCGCCCAGACTCGACTCGCGTGGACCGAGTTGACCAACCGTTGCCCGATCCATGGGGAGATGCGAAGGTTCCAACTGTAACCTCAGCTTCTCGGCCTCCCCGTATCTGGTGTAGCTCGTTATCGTGCTTATCGTGATTCGCCATCTGCTGCAAAAAGTGAATATGCCCATGCCTTTCCTGCAGCTCTTGGGGCCGCCTGCCATGGCCCATCCCTATTAAAGCAATCTCACACGCTCATCTTGCTGGGCCCATCCCGTCTTTTTTTCTCTCCCATCCCCATCTCCCTCTTCTGTTTCATCTGTCTTCTGCCTCCCAACGCTCTGCAGCAATGGGTGCCGAAGAACCCAAGAAAGCCGTCGACGTCGAGGCTCATTCCGCGGCTGCGCCTCCGGCGTACGTCCAGGATGGCCAGATTCAGACCTACGAGCAGGAGGACTTTTGGACCCGGAATGGTCTGAACTTCAGGTCCTTCCAGCGCCGCCCTGCCCACCAAGCTGAGCTGCCCCGTGCCATGAAGACCCGCCATATGCACATGATTGCCATTGGTGGTTCGATCGGTATGTATTCTCTATAGCAGAACAAGGTCGCTGCTAACAGTCGCAGGTGCTGGTTTCTTCGTCGGTTCCGGTGGTGCGCTCAGCACTGGAGGCCCCGGTTCTCTCTTCCTGGATTTTTTTATTATTGGTATTATGATCTTCAACGTCGGTACGTATCTCCATTGAGCATGGTTGACAAGGTACTGACAGCTCAGTCTACGCTCTTGGTGAACTCGCTGTCATGTACCCCATCTCTGGTGGTTTCTACACTTACTCGACCCGCTTTATCGATCCTTCCTGGGGTTTCGCCATGGGCTGGAACTACGTCTTTCAATGGGCCATCATTGTACCGTTGGAATTGACGGTCGCCGGTATGACGATAGAATATTGGCAAGTTGATGTCAGTGTGGCCGTTTGGATTACGGTCTTCTTGGTCGCCATTATTATCATCAACATTTTCGGTTCGCTCGGATATGCTGAAGAAGAGTTCTGGTCCTCATGCCTGAAGCTCGGTGCCATCATCGTCTTCATGGTCATCGCCTTGGTTCTTGTCTGCGGTGGTGGACCGTCTAATGGTATTTACGATGAGTACTGGGGCGCGCGGTATTGGTACAACCCTGGTGCTTTTAACCACGGCTTCAAGGGCTTCTGCTCTGTCTTCGTCACTGCCGCTTTCTCTTTCAGTGGAACCGAGCTGGTTGGTCTGGCTGCCGCCGAGTCGGAAAATCCCACCAGGTCCCTGCCTGGTGCCATCAAGCAGGTCTTCTGGCGTATCACCCTGTATGTCTCCCTTTGCGTTCATCGCGTCACGCCAATCTAACAGCCTCCCTAGCTTCTACATCGTTGGTCTATTCTTCGTCGGTCTTCTCGTCCCCTACGATGAACCCAGACTCTTGGGCAGCGGTCTCATCGACGTCGCAGCCTCGCCCTTTGTGATTATTGCCTCCAATGCAGGCCTCAACGGATACGACGACTTCATGAATGTCATCATTCTCGTTTCCGTCCTGTCGATTGGTGTCTCTGGTGTCTACGGTTCCTCTCGTACCCTTACCGCTCTCGCCGAACAGGGCTACGCTCCCAAGTTCTTCACCTACATCGACCGCTCCGGCCGCCCTCTCTGGTCCGTCCTAGTCACCATCCTGTTTGGTGTTCTTGGATACGTCAACGTCAGCTCCTCCGGCGAGGAAGTCTTCGCCTGGCTCCAGGCTTTGTCCGGTCTGGCCGCTCTCTTCACCTGGGGCTCCATTTGCTTGGCGCACATTCGTTTCCGCAGGGCCTGGGCTTACAACGGCCGCTCCCTCGACGAGATCCCGTTCAAGGCTGCCTTTGGTGTCTGGGGCTCCTGGCTCGGTCTTTTCCTCGTCTTCATCGTCTTGATCGCTCAGGTACTTCCGCTTGCTTCTGTTCTTTATCTTACTGAAAGCTAACACCGTCATCAGTTCTTCACTGCCGTCGCACCCGCCGGTGGCGGCCCCGATGGCGGCACCTACAACGACGCCGAAGGCTTCTTCAAGAGCTACCTCGCCCTCCCCGTCGTGCTCTTCTTCTGGGCCTGCGGCTACGCATGGAAGCGCGAGGGTTGGCTCCGCACCTCGCAAATCGACATTGACAGCGGTCGTCGCGAGATTGACTGGGAGCCTATCCACGCTGAGCGCCGCCGGATCGCCGCCATGCCCGCCTGGAGACGCTGGCTCACCCACATCTTCTAGTAGCTTGTTCTATGCTACCTCTCCCGCTCCGCATATCTTACTCTCTGGTTTTGGGACATGTTCGGGATAGATGCTGTGCGGTTTCTAGTATTAGTACTCACTTCATAATAGTGTATCTTTTTTATGTATGATCACTGCAATATCATAATCTACTGTTATCTTCGAAGTTCTGTCTTAGGTTCGTCTGGGGGTTTAGCGCTGAGGTGAGACCGTGAGATCCATGGATCCAGAGTGCACACCTGCGTCACTTCGCGGCGTCTCCGTCGCGAGCGTCAGCTGCACAAGTACATTCAATTTCCGCCATGATTATTGGACGAACAGTTTAATTAGGCTTCGCCCGCCACCCGGGGCATGCAAAGCTAAGATAAGGACACGACCGCGAAGCCCGACGCCCCGAAACCCGACAGACTACAGACTCAGGGTCACCAGGTGTTCATGCCGAGTCAGCCATCCAGTCAACCGCCCACCAAATTCGAGGCGCCAGCCCACTGCCAGGTGAGAACTGTGCGATCCCCTCAACTATCCCCAAACAAGCATCTTCCTCCGCGCGCCCAGGACCGCCCAGGACCGCCCAGCTTGCCCAGCTTGCCCAGCTTGCCCAGCTCGCTGCCGAGCAGTAGCACTCGGCCCCTCGCCCAACTCCGTCGTAGTCGTCATGAGGTCGCAGAGCTGTAACCACTAACCTAGCAAGGGTAGACTGTCACGGGCAGCCAATTCGGTCTGGGCACTGGGCAGGTCGGTCCTACCCGCCACCGAGGGGTACATAGCCATAGACACCTGCAGTCCTGCGAGTCGACGCAGCCGCGACGGCTACGCTAGGATCCTATTCCTCCGTTATGCACGCCGGCCTGCATCGGCGTTTCGGATGCAAGCGGTCATACGGCTGATTGGCTGCATCCTTGCATGGAAGGACGAGAGAAGGATGGAATGATCTTGGAAGGCTGTCGAAGGAATGGATCCTTGTGTGGTGCCTTGGCGCTGCGGCGTGCGGCTTGCGGACTGTTGCATGTGCGCTTGCGCTACGACTCTGGCAGGGATAGCCTGGTCTGATTAGGTGGGTAGGTAGGGATGCGGGTGGCGTGCCTTTTCTTATCATGCTGTTATCGCTCAGTGGCATGCTTGCTTGCCGTTTGCTATATGTATTAGTAGTCTAGGGTACTTTCTGTGGGGTGGCGCTGCACTGTCACTGCAAGGGTGGTGTTGTGTCTCAGTCTGGAGTACCGTAGTGTGGCGCTTACCTTCCTGCTCTGTATTGCTCGCTTTAATCTTGCGTGCTAGGGGCTTACGCGTTGCGTTGCGTTGTGAGCTGAGCTGAGCTGAGCTGTAAGCTGCTGCTTGCTTGAGCCGGCCCTGCCTCACATGTGACATCGGGAGACTTTGTTCCTGCTTCATGGCCTCTGAATCGGATGCTGGGTGTAATCTCCCTGTCTAATACTGGTTACCTGTCATATGTACTAGATGAGTAACCTTAAGGGTCTCGGTATCGAGGTCCGTTTATCCAGTTAGGGCTGGGATGAGTAATGAGACGCTCCCTTTATATATATTCTGTACGAAGCACCTGCGTAGATGATAGATTTGATGTCGCTACGCATCAGTTCCTAAGCAAGTATAACTCGTTGAGAATTCTTAGGAGTGCTAGATACTCAGGCATCAAAAGTACAAGGTCAAGGTACCGCCCAGGCAGGCAAGGGAGGCACAAAAGACAGCGCAGAGCTAGATGATGCAGGTAAGAAGCGACAAAGGCAAAACAAAGGAGACTGAAAGGAAATCTATAACATAGTAGTAATATAATATAATTGACTGTGATGTACCTATCCGTGAAGAAAACATGTCAAAATCAAAAAGCGCCATCGCTATGCAAAATAGTCATTCCCTCCCTTTTTCTTTCTTTTTTCTGGCTTTGCTTTCATGTATAAAGGTAAATAGATTTACTGGCTTGCGGTAGGTGCAGCAGTGTCACTGTCCCGATGGCGCCGCAGCGCCTCGTGCATCTCGAACCGGAGGTCGAAGAGGAGCTCGTCCATCTCCTTGACGGTGTTGCGGTCCAGAGAAGATGATTTGACTTGGTCGATAAGGGAGCGCAGCGAGGTTGAAATCTGGACATCTTGGTTTGTTCGGGCTTCTGGCTCTGGCTCTGGCGCTGACGCTGACGTTGACGCTGATTCTTCTGCTGCTGGCAGCGGCTGTGGTGGTAGGGCTGGTTCAGAGGGTGTTTGTTTTTCGATGGCGGACTCCAGTGGTTGAGGTTTTGGTGGGGCTTCTACTTCTGTCTCTGCTACTGCCGCTGGTTCCGGCTTTGTTGCTCCAACTTCTGCCATCTGGACGTCGACAGGTTCCTGTGGCGCTTCTGTTTGTTGATCAGGCTGTTGTTCAGGTTGTTGTACAGGTTGATCTAGCTGCGCAGCATCGTCTGGTTGCATTTTCTGCTGAGAGACATTGTCCATTATGGAAGGTTGAGACTCCATTATGGAAGATTGAGACTGTTCTCCTGGCTTTTCGATAGAACTTTCTCCTTCCGTGGTAACCTCCTGAGACGCTGCCGCTGCCGCCGCCGCCGCCGCCGCCGCCGCTTCCCGCTGAGAGCGGCGCCTTTGTGACCTGCGGTTCCTTTCCTTCTCTTTCTTGGTCTGTTTTCGCTTTTGCGAGCCACTTGGGGTTGATCGTGGCGACTTTCTCGGGGCAGGTGTCTCTTCTGGGATCTCGGGCGCAGGGACACCGCTGATACGATGTGATCTCCTTTGCTGAGAACCCTGAGACTGTGGCTCATTCGCAGCTTCTTTATCGGCCTTGGCCTGGTTCTGTTTCGGCGTCTCAGCTGTAGCCTTGACTGCGTCATTCTTCCGCTTCTTCGCGGCCGTGTTAGCTGGGGAAGAAACGATGTTTTGAGATGTAGTCGTAGTCTTCTGTTTCTTCGAAGTAGTGTGGGTATCTTGGGCTTCGGCTTCGGCCACAGGTGACGCCGCAGAAGAAATCCTCGTTGAACGGCGACGCTCTTTCTTAGTTTCTGCAACTGATGCCTCTTCCTCCCGCTTTCGTTTGCGTGTAACCGCTGCCATTTCCGGAGACGTCGTTGCTTCTTTGTCCGCAGTATCGCTGTTCAGATCCACGGCATAGACAAGATCTTGTTCGAGTTGTGACGTAACCTGCGTATCAGTATCTTCGCCAGTTGATTCCATAGCCTGGTCGTCACGCTCAAGCTGCGGCTCAGAGACATCCTTGGGCTCGGCGACAGAAGCAGCAGTAGAATCATGGACAGTATCTATGCACATGGTCTGTGCTGTTTCTTGCGCTTCTTGTGTTTGTTGAACAGGGGCCTCTTCATCCTTTGCTGGCGACCTGTCCGTCGCGGAACGAAGACGACTTCTCATGCTCTGCTCCACTTCGCCCTCTTCATTCTTTTCAGTGGGTTCCACTTGCGATGAAACAGCAGCTGGCTTCTCCTTGCTAGGCGTCTTGGATCGCCTAGACCTATTCCTCTTCTTGTTCTTAGAGTTCTTGTTTTTGGTTGACTTAGACGGGGAAGTTTGTCGTGAATCAACACTCTGCGATTCGACGCTCTGCGATTCGAGCTGGGGTGGTGAAGATGGAGGATCAATGTCCATGTTATCACCGGCGGTAAACGACGGGGGGATAGCGGAAGCCACGGAAGATGTTCGGCCGCGGATGGCAGGCGTTGGGGACGAACCAAGGAATCCCTCTTCATTGTCCGCAGGGAGGGCTGGTATTGTAGGCGTCTGGGGTGTTGCAGATCTAGACTCGTCATTTCGTAGGCTACGTATGTGGGGTGGCGTCATGAACCCAAGTTCCTTTGGGGTCGTGGTAGGAGGTGAGGATGAACGGAGGTTGTCAATAATGGAGAACATCTGCTGATGACGGGAAGTGTCTTCGTTGCCAGAAGCAGCCTTATCATCTTTAGTCGGATTGCTGGGAACTTCCTGAGCAAGGGCCTGTGGGAGGGTCGACTCCGTTTGTTGCCGCGACTCTTTTTGCCGTATCGTGGTGACTTCGGTTTCGGAGATCACAGGTGATTCAAAGCGAGCAGAATGAGGAGACTCCGATGGTGCATCCAGGATGAACGCGATGCGAGACTTTACCGAGATATCTTTCGTTACAAGATTAGAGCTTTCCGTGACAAGGTCATTGCTTTCCTTATCGCCCTGGCCATCTTCGGCCATAATCATGCTTTGCGACAATTGAGCGGTACCTGCTCTCAACCCTTGCGTTTGGCTAACGACCTGGGCTTCCAGATCTTGTAGTGCTTGGGATATGCTGGCTGGGAATAGTAAGGAGTGTTGAGTCCCAAAAGAAGACTTCCAAAAATCCCAGAACCGGTGAGCGGTCGAGGCGTGCGAGGATCTCAAGCCAGAGCATATAATCTGCTCGAATTTGTGAGAAGTCGAAGCATAACGAGGCAAGATCTGTAGGATATTCAGCACGGCTGACGCGAGCGCGTGGCACTACTCATGTTAGTATCTATACATTCACTCGTTGGGTGTACTTACAGCAGTCAAAATCCGGCTCTCGGCGCCGCTCTCGACAGTGACCTTGCGAAATTCGTCTTTCAGAAAGAGACCCAGCGGATACTGGAGCTGATCAAGTAGCACGGATCTGAATACAAAGGTCCCTGATCCCAAGAAAGAAACGAGCGTCTCTATAAATATAGCGGCACCGTTGGAATGCAAAGGTACCAGCAGTTCGTACGCGCCCGAAAGAAGTAGATGGGCCATAGTCACTAACGTGCTCGGGAATGGCGGTGTGTTCGTATCGTTAGCACCCCTCTCATGCTCGGAGAAAGGAATTGCTAAACAATGATGAATCATCGAGGACGCAGGGGAACATGCGGTGCGAACATCAAGATTCATGATCAAGCTCAGGAGGGGCTCTAGCACTGTTGTCCCAATCGCACAATCCCCCTTTTCGTTTTTGATAACATGAAAAAGTGCACCTAGGAGCTGATCCCAAACTTGGAACCCGTCCGGGAATTTCAACCCTACGGAAAGAATCTTGACTGCGTTGTCGTAGTCACGAGCAACAGATCCGTCTCGTTCGCGGGCCGATTCGTTAGCAAAGGAGCTTAGACAATCCGCAGACAATTGAGCTGCTGATATCCACACAGTCCGCCCAAAGTTTTCGATGTCATCGGGTCCATTTTCGTCTGGGTATAAACCGGCACATTGTCTCAGAATATCGAGTCGAGAGCCCCTTGAACCCTTTCCATGGCAGGCTGCTTCAATGGTATCCTTGACAAGACGAGAGTAAGCAGCTGTTGGTTCTGGAGCCCCTGAGACATCACCGAGAAGCCGTAGTAAGTGCAAGAGGGGGGTGTCGGGATTATTATTGTCTTTCAAGTGACGGCTTGTAGGCGTTACAGCTAGGTATAGTGAATCCGCCTTGAAGAGCTGTTTCTCTGTAAATGAGATGCTGCCTAAGGCGATAATCATTGTCGTAGAAAGAAACCGGAAACGCTCAAAGAAGGTATCCTTCGACGAGCCATCGACAGCGTTGAGAGAGGGTGGGCCACCCTGCCACATCCGTTGGAAAAGCACCATGATTTGGGCTACTGTTTGCATAGACTCAGGCGAGGGTGTAATCTCTTTGCTTGCGGCAAAAGCCAGGGCACGAGATAGACTAACCCACGCAGCACCTATGTTAGACTTCTCTAATTCAGGCTCCCAAACAGACGACTTTAAAATGGCCTCAAATACCCTCAGTATTTCTGGCAAGCTTGACCTAACCCATTTGCAATCCAAAGGCGGCAATTCCTCCGGCGCAATTTTCTTCGGCTCGTTCACACGATTATCCGACCAAGACTTGAGAGGGTGCGAGATCCATAGCATATTCGACAGCGCGTGGGCAAGCCTGTCGCTTAGGCTGGGAACAAAAGCAAATATGCTTACAGAAGGCAAGGAAATGTACTCTGCCCATGCCATATCCAGTTGCTGATGGGAGGCGTCGGGTCGGAAGGCGTAGTAGAGCAGATTGTAGTAGCTAGATAATATCAGTTGACTGGGCTGCGAGCCCGATTTTTCGTGCTTTCTCCTTTCGAATTGAGCGAGTATAGGCTTCCCAAGCATCCGTAGTAGCGTCCGACTCGTTGTCTCACTGATATTGGCCACTAGAACAAACCGATTCCAGTTGACAATGGCTTTGGATTTGATCTCAATGTCATTGCAATTGAAGCACTTTTGAAGAACGAGAACCCATTCTTTGAAATGCTGCCACTGGTCAATGTTGAAGCGCTTGTTTCGGAGGAGCAGTGTAATGACACCCCAAATCTGGGGAACATGTTCGCCGGTTTCGGTATTCGCCATCATCCTCGACATACGCTCGGTCACCTCAGAGACCATCTTCCGTTTGTCTGCGATTGGCCGGTCGAAAATATCACGGAGCGTTTTCGACAATGTCGAGTTAGATCCAGATGCCATATACACATTGAAACCGAGCTCCAATGCGCTTAGTCGGACATTTTTAATTTGATGAAGCAATCCAGAAATAAGATGATCCATCCAAAGAACGGACGAAGCAAGGAACGTTGACTTGGACACATCGAAAAGGCGTTCGTAAATCGATAAACGCTGCGAGACTGCGGAGTTCCCCTTGACTCTATCGGTCAAGCCATACAGCATTTCGAGTATGCGCATCGCTCGGGCCGCTGTAATAATCTTTGCTGAAAACTTCTGCGTTGACAGGACACTCAAATAATGGGTCATGACAGATTTGGGGAGTTTGCCATTCTCAAGGCAATTGACCGAGTGCTCGACGAGAAAGAGCTTAAACTCATCCGGCAACTGCGGACAGATCTGGGGATGCCAAATAAGCACCATGGAGAGCTTCAATGCCTGAATGACGAGGGTTGAATCTAGTGGGCCGCTCTCCGTGAGGTCGCGGCTAATATCCCGTTGTATAAAATCGGCAATCAGGCTCAAGTTGCGCACAATTTCCTCTTCTGTCGGCACCTTCTCGTATGCCCTCAATGCACCAAAAAACTGCATATATGCATCGATCCTTGAGCTGATTGATTCTCCAGCCAATTGCTGGGTGACGGACTTCAAAAGCATCACGAACGACTCGGGGGTATGCGCTATAGCAGGTGCGAAAATAATAGGACCAGGCGAGTTTGTCGCCTTAAGTATTGACCTGGCCGGCTTGCTATCGCTCGAAGGAAGGAGGGCTTTCGGATCCGGGTTTGTGAACGAAGGGGGTTTGATGAACTTTGGCCATGGTGAAAAGTTCACGCGCTTGCGGCTGGAGGGAGCGCCAGTCGATTCGGTTTTCAGAAAAGGAGATTCAATCGGGGTCTGTACGGGCGCTGGCGAGTCTTCCGTCCGTTCTTTCTCAGACAGCATGCGAGACGCAGTCCTTGGTGGAGTCGGCGGACGAGCAGACAAAGGACCTAGAACGTCGACCATGTTCAAGACAAAAAGCAACAATAAAGAGAGGAGAGAAGAAGGAACATTGCGATTCGGCCAAGCTCCAGAAGTGAACTCAGGCCTGTCCCTATCCTGAACGTCGAAGCAGTGAAGATTGAAGATTGACGGAGATCATGCTGAGAATCGAGATCGGCTGCAGAACGCCGGAGACGCCAAGCCGCGCTCGAACGCGGTTTTCGGTTGTAGACGCGTTAAGTGGCAGCGCCTCGCGTTTGGTGCCTTGACATTAAGGCCCCAGTTTTAGCCTTATCCTTCAGGCCCTGCGGAGAAGCTGACTACTACTACCTCGGTGGGGTTCAGCTTTCTACTCTGTATGGTGCTCGAGGATGAACTGAACAAGGAGCTGATTTCAGGGCACAGATCGCCGTGTCTTTGTTTGATTTTCTACACCGTCACTTGACTCGAAGGCTCTCCTCGACTTCCCCCTCAATTGCTGCGGTGCACATCCCCTGTGTCTCCGCAGAGTCCGCACCGGAGCTCCTTCCCGTGCGATCGTCAAACTGGATAATTCTCGCACTTCTGAACACCTGAAACCGAGGACTATCGTCGACTAAGTGAAAAGCGCCGAGCGAATATGGATTTGCGTATCCTGCAGGGGGCTGGTACGTCGCGGCGCTCACTATCAGCTTTCTCAGCGCTAACGCACGCTCAATAGAGAAATTGCGACAAGTCACAGAGCTCCTGGACTCTCTTGAAAAAGACATAAAAGATAACTCCTTGAACTCCGCGCGTAGGTTACAATTTCATGTGCAGGCTAGAAGATTATCTAACTTGTTCTAGAAAAGACCCAGATCCTCTTACAGCTGAGGCAGCATGGCACGAGTCCAGACAACGCAGGTCCAATCTACTCGAAAAGGGTACGTTGCATCGTGCGCCGATGCTGATTGGCTCTAATACTTGTATAGGGCATCGACATTCTATCAAAGTATGGTGTTGATGGGGAGACGACAGACGTCCGCCATGCCGCCTTACGCTGCGTCGCAAATGCTCTCTTGTTAGATTCAAACATGCGCCAGTTGTTCGTAGACACTGGCAGGGGTGGAAAATTAGCGGAAATGCTCAAGGTATGATTTCAATCTCTCCAGAAGACTCTCCAGCTAACAAGTCTAGTGTGACTCTTCCGAGCATGAAATGGTCATCAGTCGGATACTCTTCCTCTCGACCTACGACACTAATCAGAACTTTGACGACCTAATCAACAATCACGCTTTGGGCGATAATATCAACTATGTGAGTCGCGCGCTCCTTGAAGATCCAACATACTAATGCCTGCAGCAAATACTCCGACACTCTAAGCAATTCCCCAAATCCGGCAGAAAGCCCTTGTCACAAGTCGACGAACTAGCTTTCATCGACACATTGAAGCTAGTCTTCAACGTGGCGAAGCTCTTCCAGGATCTAGCACCAACCTTCTCACCGTCAATTCCATACATCTTCAAGATTATCAGCCGTATCGACATCCCTCTAAAGCCCTTGGACGGCCTCCTCGGCACGCTACTAAACTGCCTCTCAACACTCGACCTCGAAAACAAGAACAAGAAGTCCTACGATGGCAACCCGCTCTTCCCAACCTTCAACCAAAACTGTAACGTCGACAAGTTGATCAATATCCTAGACCAAGCAGTTTCAGCATACGAACCGTCAGAGCTCGAAACAAAAGCCATCCCTCTCTTCCACACCCTCGTCACAATTCACGAGGTGGCGCCAGACGGGCCCCGCAAGTACATGCAATGGCTCCTCCTACCCGACGACAATGACCGGAACCGGCCAATCGGGCAATCCGACACTTTGTCCTCCAAGCTGCTCAAGCTCTCGACGATGCCGTACGCGAATCTCAAGATCGCAATCTCCGAGCTCATGTTTGTTCTCTCCGGCAAGAACGCTGAGAGTCTAACGAAGAACATCGGCTACGGCTTTGCTGCGGGGCTTCTTGCTTCGCGGGGCATTGATATCCCGAAGTCGGCGGGTGAGGCGTTCGCCACGAATGCTGAGAGCCTGGATCCAGCCATTAACCCTATTACCGGACAAAGATGGGCTGCGGAAAAGGAAGATACCGGCCCGCCCATGACAAAGGAGGAGAAGGAGAGAGAGGCCGAGAGGCTCTTTGTGCTGTTTGAAAGGTAAGTGCAGCATAAAATATACTCGATTCATAACTATACTAACTCCATGGCAGGGCCAAAGCAAACGGTATCCTTGGAGTCGAGAACCCAGTCACACAGGCTCTAAGAGAAGGAAGATTTGAGGAATTGTCTGATTCAGATAGTGATTGAGACTAAGTACATTGTGGCTATGTATGTTGATATACCAAGGATTTCGGCTCCGCAATATACTAGAACATTCAAAGTCGGAATATATAAACTGGACCAGCCATCACGCCGGTAATCTACTACGTCTTCCCATAGCTCTACACATGAGATCTTCGATATTGACCTGAGAACATTGGCCTGAGAACCATTACCGATCCAGCGGCGGAGATTCCTCCCAACGCCACTACCATTTTACCTTACCTGAAAAAAGTAGGCCATCTCGCCCTCTGCGCCTCCGGCAACACCCGCATACACCAAGCGAACAATCCACCTTCAAACTCAAGTCCTTTGTCTGCCATTTCTCCGCGAGCCTATCCTTCCATTCCTCAACCCACAATGTCTGCGTCCTCGTTTCACCATCAGAGCCAATACTCGTAAGCCGAACTTTACCCAGCTCCAGACATTCAGAAGATGGAAGCGGTTTGCCGGTGTAGTAAAACCCATGCTGAGCATTGCAGGTCTGCGGATGATGCATGGGTAGAGTAGTAGGGTTTGGTTCGTTGCTGTTACAAAGATCACGATAGCAGCGAGGACACAAGACGGAGTTGGGGCACGTTCGACAGAAATACCAGCAGGACGCGCTCTGTACCTTGAGCTAGCAATTTGCGCACACGTAAGGCAATCAGGAAGCTGGGGCCGGAGGGGTCCAAGCTAGGATTTGACTCCGGATCGTTCTCCTCCCCGTCCTCCTGCTCCGGGGCTCTCTTGGCTTCCACCGCGCTTTCATTCTCGGACGACTTGTCGCCTTCAATATGCCTCTTTCCGTGCGTTCGAACAGCTTCTACTTCGGGTTCAAGAGAAACCCTAAGACCTGCCGTGGAGTCACTCCTACAACGGGTCTTCATCAAGTATAGAGCACCGCTTAGGTCTTCGTCACTGTCTGCATTGTCCAGGAACGTCTGGGAAAGCGGGTACCAGGCGTCTTCATCATTAGAAGGGTCGTCGACCGACAGCAGAGCAAGGCACTTCTTCATACGACCGCATAGAGCCATTCGAGCATTTGCATAGTCCCCGTGATCTCGTAACCAGGATGAAATAACCAGGCAGATATTGCCGAACTCATCATCCGTACTCAAGGTGATAGGGGCCTTTCCAGAAAAGGGGATCTCAGGAAGATAAAGACAAACAGCGGCCAGATGGTTCAGCGATTGCTCCTGTGCTTCATGGTTACCTTCGGGTAGACGAGAACAGACAAGACCTATTACCACTCCCAAAAATGGACAACAAAGCTTCATCGGATCAAAGCAAGGGGAAAGAGGCCGTTGTTGGAATACAGTCCGACGTCAAACCCCTTCAACAACTCAGCTCTTCGGGCGCAGCTGCCAAGAAAAAACGAGAGCGAAATCAGGTAGATAGAGGAATGCGGGCTTTAGATGGGGCGATTCAATCCCACCTCCAACAGGATGAGAGTCAAAAACAAGGCTCCTCTTAGAAAGTCACTCTCAGAATGAAATCATGTCTGAAATTCGAGACCAAACTCCCGTTGGAGCTGGCTGTCGTACTCTTCCTTATCAGAAAGTTTTTGACTTGCGATGCGTCCCACATTCCTTCCCCAAAGAAACGGCATAATCAAATTGAACTCTTCAAGATATTCCGTGCAAAATAGTGGCCGAACGTGTTGTTGGAAAATTGTGAATAGGCCGGAGGGGCTGGAGAGAGCCAACGTATACCAAAAGGTGCCTGTCGCCCATGTTCTACTCATAACGTCCGACAGTAGTGGTGAGTTGTGCTTTTTTGCCATTTGTTGCTCCTCGGCGATAAGGGCGTCCATAAATTCTGTCCGTAGTTTGTCATACTCGGATGGCACCAGCTCATCAACACCCATATTAGTGAGCCAGTGAGGAGGTCTAATCATCTCGATCGGCAAAGAGCAGGCCCACTCCAAGTCCACCAGACAAGTTACATTCCAGCCCGCATCAACAAAGATATTGCTTGGATGAAGATCCGTTAGCGAGAAAACAAATGGCCCTCGCCGAAATTCCCTTTGGAAGAATGATTTGGAGATTGCCCGCATCGCGGAGAGTGAGGATAACTGGAATACACAGTCCCCGAGGTTATTCACTGCGTTTGGTTGATACTGAAAACGATTGTCATGGAACGTGAGCACATCCGCCAAGTAAGAGTCAACAGTTGAGTATGTATAGTCACGATGTATGCCTGTGGGTATATGCTCGTTCTCTAGCTGTTGAATTTCGATTGAGAGTGGCCGGTTTGCTAACTTCAAAAACCCCTTGTGGTCGACGATAAATGAGCCAATCCTGGGGGTTGGGATTTGGCTCATGCTCAGGAGAATGCGGGAAAGGCCATGGAAAAGATTTGTCCGTAATTTAATGTCATGTTGGTTATCTGTCCATGTGTCCGAAAGCATACTTCCCCGGCTTGGTTCAATGTATTCGAGAAGCAAATAGTTGAGGTGAACGGTATGCTCTCTTTTGGCTGGGTGGGGAACATATCTAGATAGAGTTGGATACCCTAGCCATGTGGAAACCCGACGCCAGATGGAATGTATCCACTTGTATAGGAGCGGCAAGTTTTCAAAGCAAGTGAACTAGGATAAATTAGCTGGGTGGGAGAAAATAGTGCATGAGTCTTGATACAGTTTCACCAGTCGCCAGCCCAAACCCATATAACTCAGGAATTGGAACGCCCGGGCAGTTTTCTTGCAGCCATGCATAGGTCCCTGCCTCACATCTGATCTTCTCGTCTCCGTTGCCCGGCATGAACTCCTCACCAACCCTGTAAGGGAGCGGGAGACGAAGAATCACCTGCTTAATACTTCCAGCGCAGACAGTGACAGGAATACATACATTGCAGCTACCGTGTAACCAATCCTTGATGTTTGACACATAACAGGCATCGGGTGAGTTCAGATTAAGATGATGCGCGACAATTTTCTTGATCCAGGTTTGGTGATTGTTAAGATGAGAAAAGAACCTGTTCTGCTTATCATAGTAAGATAGTTGATGAAGAATGTTAACCTCCTCTTCCTTGGCAGACAAGTAGGTGATTTCCCGTCGAAGAAGTTGTCGCGTTCTTGACATATTGGGGAAAACAACAGAAAGTTACTGGTTTGATGGATTTTGTGACCCTCCTTTTATTATGACATCCTGTCCAGTGCGGAGTCGAAGCACTGACTCTTCTCGTCAAATCAGGAGCCTCGCTCGGACCCACTCGCGGAGTGATCTGTCAATGCCAGAGGGTTACTCTTCCGAAATCCTGTCCAATAGCTATCCCTGTCCTGCTGCTGCGGTCTGACTCCTAGGGGAAGGCGTTACTCCGTAGCAGTGGGCAATATGCTCTAGCAGAAGGCTGATGTTCTCCAAACTACGAACATCGTCTAGTATATATTATGATCGAAGGTCGAACTTAAACATCGTCTCTCTCCTGGCATGGTCATGGCTATTCAAATAGGTGGATATTGATTTCTATACAGGCCAGAGGAGGCTTGTCACCACTGAGCGGCTCTTGGTCGGTACATAAAAGCGACAAGTACCTGGAGACCTTATCTTACCTATGGACTCATATACGGCTGATTGTAGGTCAAATAAAACCGTGGATCCGTTGGGAGATCTTATGCGGTCAACCGTCATCCAACAGGAAGAACGCGTCCTTGGCTGACACCATTGGATCAATGCCCCTTCGACGTATTCCACTTGCCAAGCTCCTCGACCATGGCCTGAAAGAATCGGGCAAAAAAGGAATTTGATTCAAAAAGAAATCTCCCCGACTGGGAGTCGAACCCAGGTCTCCCGCGCTTGTTCTTGCGAGAAGTGACAAGCGGAAATCATGACCGTTAGACCATCGAGGATTAGATGAGAAAAACTCTCTTATATTTATACTATCTGGCAAAAGCAAGCAGTGCAGCATCCATGGTGAAGACCTACGGCCAGTGCAGTGCAGCGACTGTATAATGGAATTTGGAAGATCCCGTAGATCGCCGGCCAATAACGGTGTCTCGCTGTGGCCTTGCGGATAGAGCTCAATCGGCCATGGCCTCCGATTTCCACGATCTCCTCAAACGTACAAGCTGCCCGTCGTACGTGCCATGATAGTGGGAAGGAAAATTCATTGTTATTTTGAGATCCGGCTCATGCTCGCTGGCATTTTCAAGCTTTGCCGAGCTGGCTGCAATTCCTTCCTTTGGAAAGAGGTTTGTGGAGATTACCATGGAAAGGCTGAGGAGCACCAGAGAATCAAGTAGAGGAGACATTTGATGGAGAAATCTCTGGACATAGGCCGGCCTGGTAACGCATGATTTTAGCGAGCCTCGAGTGTTCGGGCTTGTGATGAATATGGGCTAGTGTAGGGATATGCCTTGGTCTTGCACGTCCGCCGAGGAAGCAGTCTATTGCCTAAGGTCGGCTGCAGCAATTTCATAGAGATGAATATGTCTCCAAACATTCAAATGCTTGAGCTTACGCTCTTACACAAATTCATCTCTCAACTGAAAACATCTCAGTATCCCACAAGCGTAACCTTTCTGACCGGTGTCATTTCCGGCCCCAGCGGACAATGCTGTTTGTGTTGCCGAACGTTGTGGCTGGAACAGTACAGTGGTGGAATGTCCCCCACCTTCTCGACTGCCAGCTTATTGTCTCTGAATATACTCTGCATAAGCTCCGGGTGGACATGGCCAGAGCACAGCCCTAGATATCGTCCTGCCCTTGGTCTTTGAGAAGTAGCATTGCTGCGTTCTGGAGCACGGCTTCCTTGGTTGTTCTTTGCGTAGAAATAAGAATAATGGGAGTGTGTTCTAAATGTACATCTTGTTAGAGTGCTCTTTATCACGCCCAGGTGCCTAACATACGCCGTTCAGGGAAGGAATTGTCGGCGGCATCTTTGCTGAGAATCATCAGATTCTTTTCGCAGACCATGGTCGATGCCGATGCGTAGAAGCTCAGGAGACCCGATCAAATCAAGGAAAACAGTAACCATTGCGTAAGCTTGCTGGTGAGGAACTGCCATAATTGAAGGCCGGAAATGACAAACACCAACTTAAGGTTCCGGGATTTGACTCCTGTGCTGGCCGATGTAGCAGCTGAGACGCTTTTGCGTGGATAAGCCTTCACTTGAGTTTCCTACGTCTCTTCCCAAAGCTTGCAGTAAGAGCATGTGACTTGTTTCTGCAGCCCTGTTCCCTAATGAGCGCATTACAGAACCGGGTAACTTCTGTGCTGCCGTGGTTGCTGCCAAGCGAGGCCACAATAAGAACTCGCCCGCTGCCCATCTTCCTCTTCTTTCTTTCTTTCCTCTTTCTCTCCTTGGGGAGGCGTCCGCCAACGGCCGGGCGTCTCCTCCATCTTCCACTTTCGCTTCTTCAAGGTGATCCATGTCAACGACATTCGGTGCCTTTCCTCTTTTTCGGCTTCTGCCTTTCATCAAGAATATCCAACCCCCGAGGTCGGATAGACTTCAATCGGGTCAGTCTAGGATAGACATGACCTTCAATTTCTAAATTTAATCGCCTCCTCTCCTTCGCGAAATAGACACAGAAAATGTCTTTCCGCAACGGATCCGCGCGTTCAGCTTCAACTACGTTTCAGGCAAGCTTCTGGGACTGGCATGGGCAATACTCAAAACAGGCTACAACCGACAGTGGCCTGGAAGACCTTCTGCTAGGTAACACCCTTCTTGGTCCCTCCTCGATGATGCTTCTTTTCACAGATACCACGACTTATGCTGACATAGAACAGAGGTTGAGTCTACTTGAAGGCTTTTCCCGACGCCACCTTTGTCGAAATCAGGACGAAGATGCGCGCAGAGGTCCTCAACACGTTTTATCAGAACACAAGCCTTCCGTACGATCATGCTGCTTACTTTGGTTTGTACGATATGCTACATGCCACGAGTCGCCTGCATTGTTCGGAGAACATAAACAAAACGAGGACGCTTCAGAGAGTGGTTATGAGCCCGGTCTCGACGTCAGACTACCTCATTGCTATGGTAAGTATCGCTCTTGAGGTATTCGCTCGAAGACTAACAGTGTTCCCATTCAGGAGCGGGAGACGTCGAACTACATCAGTTTGATTTCGTCATCGGTGGCAACGATTTGCTCGACGTTGACTTCACTCCTCCCTCTCTCATATGCTGCAATCCAGGACATCCTTCGGATGCTTTTTCTTTCTTTATTCCGCGAAACGGAGTTCCTTCCGCAATTATCAACGATAGCTGCAGTGGCACTCCTGAGCACACACCTGCGTGACCATCACCTCTCACCAGCCCTACTATGGACCCTCTCGACCATGTACAGATAAGCTGTACGTGAGTTGAGAAGACAGAGCGGTCGTTGGTGGTACGTGTTTTACTCCCGTGTTCTCCGCTAGTGATACGACCACATACGAACTGATCTTGCAGAGACGACGCCTTCCAAAGTCCCCGTACCGGCAGACAATGGCTGCAAGAGCCTGATGCACAGAGTCGGATTCGGTTCTTTGAAGGTACGTGTCTCTCCTATATTTGAGGTTGCTAAGGATAATGACCGCTGACCGAGTAACCCGATAGCGTCGTCGCAGTTCATGCTTTCGTTCTCGACCAGACGGGGAAGCCAGCAGAAGACTGCGCACTTGACAGATATAATGACAGATAAATTGTACCAGTAACACAAAAAACTAAAAACGGGCCTTGACAGAGCAGAATGGAAAAGCCTGACCCTATGACCGAAGCGTTTATCTGTGGTACGTGCAGCTCCTGTGTACTTCTCCAGGTGATGATCACCGCTGACCCATTGGCTTGATAGAGTTTTCCGTACACTTCACAGATTTGAACTTTGCGACCAGAGACGGCCGGCGCCGACCTTCTCGGGGATACCGGTCCGTCTATCAAGCAATCAATCGCCGGCCTTGCCCTAGAACCATACTCCGCCAGCTATTGTAGCCGGGGACGTAACATCGGATTTGAGTTGCGACCAAAGCAAGCTTAGGACTGCGCCTCCAAGACGCTGGTCTTCCTTTTGACCGTCAGATCCTCAAGTGCGGGAACTGTGGTGGTAGGTAATAAACACTATGCGTCCTGATCCTCGCTGATTTCTCTAGAAATGGGTCTCGAGGATGCAAAGAGAAACGAGCTACTATCAGACGTGTTGGTTGAAGTGAAGTGCGTCAACTGCAACAAGCCTGGCCACCGTGCTCGTGACTACCAGCAGCCTCGGGTGAACAGTATCGAGCGCCGCAACTGCAGGTCCGTTCCCCTGACCCTTACTTTGCTATAGTGGCTGACGAGAGCAGGTTCCCTGAGCACAAGACATCTGAATGCATGGCCCTGCAACCAAGTTTCAGCATTGAGGAAAAGGGCGGGATTATGGGCGTGCTGAGCCTGGGCTTTGACTTGCCGCAACGCAGCAAGTATGGACTAGGGCAACTTCGACCAAGCTTTTGGGACCCCGAGCGGGACAAGAACCGCGGGAACAATTAGGGTCTTGAGAGGCGGGCTATGGGTATATCTCATGCTGTAACTTGCGGAAAATCTCTTCTGTTGCTGGTCGTACCTAGTTTGCGGAGTGTCAAGAATGAAATTGCTGGGCCCAACCTAATCCAAGATTGTAAATGAATGACCTTAGTAAAGAGTGGTCGACTAGTTTCTTCCATCACCCAGCTCGCCAAAAATTCCATAACAGACACAGGATATCTTCGAGGACAGCCACAGCGCATCCGGCCGAGCCCACGAGCAACCTGCCCAATATCTACCCAACCAGCTGAACAAACACGCTGATAGCCTGAGCAATGCTAGAAATTTCTCTCCCAAACTACCCCGACTTCTCTACACAAGCATTTCTCGACCATCGCCCCACGGACTGGAAGCCCCTCGCAGAAGTCGTCGCAGGTGTTACGGACACCGGACCTACCTTCAAGAACCTGCTTCCGCTGAAAGCTGCTGGAGATACTTGCAAGAACGAAAATCTACCGCTGCTAGGCCCTGGGTTCGAGGAAGAAAAGCCAACAGACTTGCGCATACGAACACACCATCCCTGAAGAGACCGCAACAAGATACCGATGGCAGGGTCCGCCGAGGCTATCCATTCATGCTCGGTAGAGTCCGCGTATGTCTATACTTGCAGTTCTTGAGTTGTTTGGAAAAGACTAACAGCAGTTCGGATTGGGTCAGTTCTCCTGTACACTACGAGCGAAACTTCTGCACCCCAAGTTCGCGTCTGCCGAGCCTCCTTGATGGCAATCACAAGACTAAGCGCCCACTTGGTTAAGAGACTCGCGCTTGCCATTGCACTCGCTACGCGTTTCAAACGGAGGCTGGACAAGGGTTACCGTACTTGGACGATAAATACGCCTCGTCCTTTTTAAAACGCATGACGGCCATCGCGGATTTCCTCGACGCAACTGGGATTGCTGGAGCTAGCAGACAATTACAGAGAGAACCGAACGAATCTAAGAGCTGTCTCGGATCTTGTGGTACCATTCTTCTGGCAGAGCACGGCCATGGCCAAGTTGGCTAACCGAACCAAAGCACCAAGCATAAAAGACTGTCATGGGCAGATGCTACCATAAAGTTTCCTTTGAATGCACACACCGGATTGATCAGCTTCGTCAATTAGAGAGCAACGGGTACGGTAATCGCCAACATTCTCCACAATCTGACTCGATAGCCCTATCTCAAATCAGAGCCATCAGATTCGGACAGCAACTCATATGCAGGTATCCGAGCATATCGACTGCAAATCAAGCATCTCCTGAGGCGCACAGGACGAAAGATAGGGAGAGAAATGTACCCGATGCTTCGATGCTCCCACTAAATGACCATAAGGACGACAGTCGGGCTATCTACCCCCCTTTGCCGTCGACTCTCTCGAACGCATTGACTGCTATATAGCCTTCAGTCGACCTCAGCTCTCAATTCAGTGATCAAGTCATACTTTCTTTCCTGCATACCGTACACGCAGACTCCACGTGGGATAAATCTCCGGCCTTGACGCTGTGTAACGGTCCTACCGCGAGTCCGCGACCTAGGTACCGGTACTACATACCTAGGTAAGCGAGGGCGAGGCCTGAATGGGAAGGGCTTGCTCCCAGCTCAGTGCTCGACTTCCTGCACTCGACCTGTACTGGCAATGATGTCAATCTTCTTGCGGAGTCGACGGTCTTCCAAACTCCGGTGCCGGTTATCCAGTGTGCGCATGTATCGGGGTTAACAGCTTAACCCCGCAGTACATAAATCAGCTTCCCCAGTACTTAACAAATTAACAAATTGTGCAATCACCTTCGCTCCGTTCAAGAGCACACCAACCTACCCAAACAAATACAGGCAACCACCAAAATGTCGTGCCCCGACTGCGTCAGAGGCCACGTCCACCCAGGCACCCCAAAAGGCCGCATCGAAACCGTCCACGGCCTGCAAACCTACGTCTCCGAGCCCGAAGACACCCCAGAGTCCGAAATCAAGGGCATCGTGGTGTTCATCCCTGACGCGTTTGGGTGGGAGTTCGTCAACAACCGTCTCCTGGCGGACCGATACGCAGAGACGGGCAAGTTCAGGGTCTACCTGCCTGAGTTCATGAACGGTACGTACCATTACCCACCAGCTTGAAGACCTCCAGTAAGTTGAACTTGAGCTTGACGCTTATGCTAATGCGTTATGTACAGGAACCGCCGTCCCAGCTTGGGGCCTCGACACAATACGTGCGGTCATGAAGACCCAGACGGTTTGGGATTGGATTTCGAAGCCGTATGTCTCTGCCCTATCTAACCCAACACACGTATGGAACGGTATGTACGCAAGCTAACAGGCTCAAGGTACCACATCGCATGCGCTCTCTACGTCATGCCCACCTTCATGATCCGCAACCGCCCCGCAAAATCCTACCCGCTCGTCGAGTCCTTCTTCGTCTCCCTGCGCCAGTCACCAGAGGGCCAAAGACTTCCCATCGGCGCAGCGGGGTTCTGCTGGGGCGGAAAGCATACTCTTCTCCTTTCACACGGGGCATCGACGACTATAAACGGGGCGAAACGCAACCTCATCGATGCTGGCTTCACGGGACATCCTAGCATGTTGGCTTTACCTGGTGATATTGAGAAGATGGTGATCCCTGTTAGTTTTGCGTTGGCTGAGCTGGATTCGAGTTTGAAGGGGGAGCAGATCGAGATGATTAAGAGGTTTGTTGAGGAGAAAGAGGAGGTTGGTGGGGAGGTCAAGGTTTACGTTGGTGCTGGCCATGGGTTCTGCGTTAGGGCTGATGTCGCGGTTGAGAAGAGCTACAGGCAGGCTGCGGAATCCGAGGAGCAGGCCGTGGAGTTCTTCAGGAAGCAGTTTGCGAAGATTTAGATACCCTTTTCATGATCATTTTTCTTTGTTGTGTTATTTCTCCTCTAAGCCGCCAAGGGGCTGCATACGTAATTCCCAGAATCATCTTCCTCCGGATGCTCTATCAATTCTCCCAACTTCCCATTCCTCCTCTTAGCCAGCGCACGATATGTCCCCTCCTCAACTACCTTCCCATCCTCAAGCACAACCACATCATCCGCAACCTCCATCATCTCCGGCGAATGCGTGATAATAACAACCGTTAGCCCGGACTGTTCAGCAACAAGCCTCTTGATCGTCTGCTTGATGATCACCGCACTGGTCCGGTCAAGGGCCGAGGTCGCTTCATCCAGTACGAGGACTTGCGGTTTGCGCACGAGCGCCCGCGCGATTACAATGCGCTGTGCCTGGCCACCCGAGAGACCGACCCCTCCATCCCCAATAACGGTTTGATACCCTTTTGGCAGCGAAGAGATGAAATCGTCTATCCCCGCAGACACGGCCGCGGCGCGGACGCTGAAGAGCGTACTGAGTGGGGAGTGCGGATCTATGCCGTAGCTGATATTCTCCATAATCGTGCCCGGGAAAATCGAAGGTTGCTGCGGGACGAGGGAGATGAGTGAGCGGAGAGTCGGGGTGTGCAGGGTGCGGATATCGGTTCCAGCGAGGGTGATAGACGGGTTTGGATGGAGGGGGTTTGGGGCCGGTGTTTCGTAAAGCGAGAGAAGGAGGGACGCGAGCGTGGACTTTCCGGACCCGGAGCGGCCAACGATCGCGGTACAGGATCCGGGTCGGATGGTGAAGGTGAGGTTGCGGAGGACATAGGTGTCGCGGCTGGGGTAGCGGAATGTTAGGTTTGTTAGGGTAATAGGGGCGGCTTCTGTGGGTGCGAATGTGCCGGCAAGTTCGTGGGAGGTTGTGGGAAGGTCGATGAGGCGGAAGAGGCGGCGGGAGAATTCGCGGGCGGTGCTTATTTGAGGGACTACATGCTGTCAGTTCATGCTTGAGACTGTATTGAAAGGTCTTATTTTTAGATGGAAGGCATACTCCATGTCAGGACAGTGGCGGCATAGCCGATGCTGAAGAGGAGGACTGAGTTGGTGGAGGTGACCTGGTCGACTGTGAACTCGTTGACCTGGACTAGGGTTACGCCATAGTAAAAGATCAATGCTGCTCGGGTTAGCTTTCTGCTGTCTGGTAATGGTTGGACTGGGTAGGACATCTTACCAGCAACGAAAACAGTCGTGGATTCAACTAGGCCAAAGAGAGCGCCGGTATAGACTGCTTTTCGAAGCCCTAGCCTCAAGCAGAACGCCGCAGCTTTCAGATGCTTGAGATGGAAGTACGGCTCTAGCGTCAAGGTCCGTACAGTGCGTAATTCTGCAAATGTCTCGAGGAAGACCTCGGACGTCAATGCCCTAGCAGCAGTACATCTTCGATCCCATATCCCGCTTGTTCTCTCGAACCCCATCGTGATGGCATAGATAACTGGCCCACAGGACAGCGCAACGAGCGTCAATTTCCAGCAAAGCACTAAACTCCATATGATGGACATGGCCGTGACAGTGGAAGCAATGAGAACGAACATACTGAATCGGGCGACGATGTCTCGAACTTCCTCCCCGCTTTCGTGCAAGCACGTAGTAATCTCCACGGCCGTATTGCGTTCACCTTCGAACCACACGCGAGGCTGGTCTAGGACTCGGCGGAGTGCTTGCTTCCGGAGAGAGTCGACCCAGCCCTGGGCGCAAACGTCGGAAAGGTAGAACATAAGGTAGTTTGTGAATGCGTCGCCGATCGCCACGCCGAGGACGGCCAGCGCCCACCTTGTGGCGTCATCCTGTCCGTTCCACCAGGTTTGGTAGAGTCTGGAGAGGAGATACGAGAAGATTGGAGTTGCACTGGCGTGCGCTATGATGCAAAGGAACGCGACGAATAGTAACAACCGCTGCTTGTTACCTAGACTAGGTAAGACTGAGCGCAATGCTCTTCGTAAAGGGTTTTTGACGGCCGGGGTATCCCCAGACTGGAATTTTCGTAGTCGACGCTTGAAGCGCCGGCGGAGGTTAGCAGTTTTTGATGAGCCCTCTAGACCGGTAGTTTTGTTCTTTGAGCCGAGGTCTTCCAACTCGATATCAGCGTGGGTAGCTCTGGAGCCTATTCTGGAAGAAGCATCGCCCTCAACACTGTGACGGTTTAAATTGGAAGAATCCCCTCGTGCGTCTTTTCTGACGTACGACTTGGATGGTAGTGGTAGCTTGAAGCTTGAGCTTTCCTTAGACGATATAGTCGAGTCTGACATCCCGGTGTCGTCTCCTTGATCTTCATCATCTCGAAAGAAGTCACTCAGGGTCGACTCTCCTTTGAGCTCACCTTTGTACCCAGCTTGCACGACGGAACCTTGTTCCATAACGTAAACAAAGTCACTGTCTTTGATGTGAGACATGTCATGAGTAATGATTATCGTTGTCTTGCCCTCTCGCCATTTGCGAATGGCGCTCATGATCTGGACACGATTGACACCATCCAAAGCACTAGTGGGCTCATCCAGTATAAGCACAGGAGAGTCCCGCAGCCGAGCTCGGGCGATTGCGACTCTTTGTTTCTGCCCCCCGCTGAGAGCATTCCCTCCTTCTCCGACGACGGTGTCAATACCTTTGGGAAGCTTCTGGAGGGTGCTCGCTAGCATCGCTAAGTTTGTGGCTTCCACCACATCCTCTTTCCGAATATCATCGCGATCATGCCTTCCGAAGGCAATGTTTCTGAATATTGACTCGTTGAAAAGCACACTTTGTTGTTCGACGTATGCAATGTTGTTTCGAATCCAGCTGACCGCAATATTTCGTATAGGATGCCCGTTAATCAATATTTCGCCCGAAGTTGGTAGGTAGAATTTAGTAAGCAATTGCCCAAGTGTACTCTTCCCAGAGCCGCTCTTGCCAATGACAAAAGTGGTTGTCCCAGCTGGGAAGGTGAAACTCGCGGCGTTCAAAACCAGTCGATCTGGTTGCGAGGAGTACGAGAATGACAACTGCGAAGATTAGCAGCGTATGAGATAGCACACTTGGTGACTTACATCTTTCACCGTGATATTGCCATTGCAATGCTTCGGATGCAAGCGTCCTCGCATCTCCTCCGAAGACGACTCCTCCGACCCACTAGATAATGACTTTTTCAAAGCAGAGGCGGCAACTTTGCCTTTCTCCAGAATCAGAAGGTGTGGCATCATAGACTCAATAGCCTGAGCGGCGGCAGAACAGGTCCAGAAAGTTCTCACGACGTCACCTGCCCCAAGCTTCCCCGATGTCACAAGATAGCTTCCATACCAGAAACCCTGCACGAACATGGCGAACATCATAAATCGCATGGCAGTGATCTGGATGGCGTTGAGATTGGCTATTTTGATGTAATGCGATGCAGCCTTGTCCACGCGGCGGCCAAACTTCTCTTGCTCAAGTCCTTGTGCATTCAGACACTTCACGGCATCGATAGAAACGACCGAACTATTAACAACTTTTGACGCTGCCTTGAGTTCATTTTGTTGACTTTCGATGCGAGCATTAATCTTGGATGAGAGATACGGAACTATCATCATAGCGATTGGGATTCCAGCAATGATAACCAAAGTTAGATTCCAGGAAGTGTAAAATGCCAGACCGAGGCAGGCGAGGATGCGGAAGGTGTATTGCGAGACAAGCGCTAGAGATGCCGATGTCGCGGTTTGGAGTTCCTGTATCTGGCTGCGAGACGTTAGACAGAAAACAAACGGATTGAAAAGACGTACATCTGAATGCAACCTAGAAAGGTGCGAGCTCCTTCCTCTTGCTCTTCGAAGAACCGCTGGTCCTTCTTCAGCAGCCCTTCGAACAGCCTGTTCCGAGCATTTGCCGCCTGAAGTTCCCCGAACGCCACAAAGAGAACAAAGTAGATTCCATTGAAGAACCAAGCGTACACACCCAGGGTCAGGAACTCGATACACAGTCTCACAACCCTCCGAACCAGGTCTTGACTGGTGATTTCACCCCTCCCAAAGTTCGTGTACTCATCGAAGACTTGTCCGAGGATGATGGAGAAGAAAGGAATAGTGAAGCTAGCAAAGAAGCAGGTGATAGTGGCTACCGCGAGAGCCAGGACGTGTTTCCTAGTCGTGAAATTGGCCAGTGGCGTACTGAACAGGTTCCGTAAGTAGTTCCTCAAAGCAGTAGCCATTATGGCTGGCGATGAGCGGAGTTGTCACTTCATTGACTTCGGTAGTAGGCATCTGCAGACGGGAGCGGTCGACACTAGTCAGATATAGATGAGAAAGAGAGTAGAACACAGAACCCCTGTAGGAACGTGTCGCCATGTTTTTCGATTCCTTAATCCTAGGAAGAAAGAGGAAGCCCTCGTGTTTGATCGCTTTCGTCCTGTGTTTCATCTCCCCGCGGCCCCAGACCGGCCGCATTGAGGTAGTTGTATGCAAAGAGTCAATGGGCAGCGCATTAGTATTGTTCTTTCCGGCCGCGGTTGGCTAGCCCACCACCACTACTATCCTGCCGACAAAGAAATCTCACAAACATACTTCCATCTTTAGAAAGGACCCCATTAATAATCATAGAACACCATATGGCATGGCAGGTGTACAGTAGCACCAGCGGCGCCCCATCAAAAATAGCTAACCAATCTCGCCGCTATGCGGCACGGCCGGAATTCGCCGTCCGCCTACTTACGGTACAGAACAATTCGTAATGATTCGTGATAAGTGGGTTGGAATGGAATAGGTTCTAGATTCTAACAGCCGGAGTCTGGAGGGGAAATGGACGCGATTATGAACTGGACTTCGCCTGTGCCTGTGCCTGCTCATAAACCCAGTCGTTAAGACCAGCGCGGTTCCTATAAGACCAATTAGCAAGGGCCACTACTCCGCTGTACAACATGAACTACGTACCTTGCGATCTCAATAGCGTAGAACTGCATCCGCATCGCTGTAACCCATTTCGTCAGTCAAACCACCCCTACCACGCCAAGTACCTCCCCAGCCACGTGAACTTACCAAAAATTGTGTTGTCCTGCTCGTACTCGGTCTTCGGGTTTGCCCGCAGCATTGTTCCGAAGTTGAAGTCGTGAACCTTCTTCTCATACTGGTTGATCCAGTTACGCCACTTCTCCTTGCCCTCCTTGCTCTTCATCTCATCTTCGTTGATCGTTGCGGCGGGGTCGAAGTCGGGGAATTCCTCCTTGAAGTGCTCGTAGATCTCGTCGTCGATTTTCGTCAGGCGCAGCTGGGATCCCGGAACCTTTTCGAGGATGGACCAGTATGTCATCAGGTGTTCCACGGCTGCGAATTGGTGAGCGATGTGACGCCGGAAATAAGCGGAGGTGAGGTGAGGGGAAGGTCACGAACCCTTGACGGCGAACTGCTTCTCCATCTGAAGGTTTCATTGTCAGCTTTGTCCGAAGGGCGGGCAATTGCGATAAGGGCCTACATCATCCAGGTTCTGCGCCTGCTCGGGATCAAAGGGCTTCGACATTTTGGCGGTTTAATGATCGGACCACTCGAATTCTCTAGGGTACAGTTATATAAGCGGGGTATGTACTTGAGAACAGCGATAGATAGTATGCAACGACTCAAACGCCTGGATAGCCCCGCGGTGGTCGATTTTTTTGCCGAGAATTTGTGCTCCGCCAACCCCACAGACGTCATTGGAGCGGTCTTGGCGCTGCCGTACCTACCTAATACGGTACCTAGGCGGAAGGGCCCCGTACATCTCCATCGTCCATCCTGTACTCTTATGACTTCGTTTACCGGGGACAATGTCGAATTATGTCCCTGGGACAGTGTCCAGATAACCACACTTATAGCCCACTCTTCTAATGCATTCTCATACTTACCTACTGCTCCATCAGGAACCCTGAATGGAGCCACGCTCGTATGGACACAATGCTGGCCTTAAGTAGGCATGGCTGAATGAATAAGGAGGGGTTGGGCCTTGGGAAGTTTCAGCCTGTGCAACAATGTCAGAAGTGACCTGTCACCCAACACTCTGTTGTAAGGTTGTCCATAACTTCTTCCCCTAGCTGTGTTCTGTGTGATACTGCTAACTTGTTTTGTGGCTTTCGCAATGTCTCGCAGTGCAATTGAGCCTCCAGACGTGACCTTTTGTCCCTTTGGAGTGTGGCGTGTGATGACTATGCAAAGGAAACGGGAATAACCATCACCAATAAGGAATTTCCTAAGTTCTCCAGGCTCGAAGAGCTGTCGCACCAGCTCGATGCGGAGAGGGATCATTTCCAGGATTTTCGAATGAAGAGGCGGCCTCTTCTCCATACCATGTAAACTATCCTGACACCTTTTAAGAGTTGGGGTAATCTCCTTGGAGATGTGGTCGCTGCTGCTTTTCCACAGACCTCGTCAATTATGGGTACCAGGCGGCTGTTGATCCGAAGCGCGCGAAAGGTCAGCGAATCATTGGACATGTTATCCGACCTCTTCCAGAAGTTGTTAAAGTCTTGGTCAATTTCCTCCGTGTCTGTGACTCTGTGCAGCATCTCAGAAATTGCTGGGTGGTCTCTTCCGTCATGTTTTCTGCGGTAGTGATAACATCTCTCGCAATGAAACGTAGCCGCTTCAAGGTACAGCTCGCTTTTGGTACTGATAAAATAAACGACAAATACGCTGAGCGACAGCCAGCACGAGGCCCATATTCCTAGATCAGATTCAGAATGACGCCAAAAAATGGATTGACATTGAGAAGATCTCGCTGGGCGAGATGGTGATAACTCGAAGGGGGGTTTCTCCTTTCTCCGCAATACCGTAATACCTACCTGATGATCCCGCTTCCGAGCTTCCTCCAGCCTTACCCTCTGGCCTCACTTATTCCACAAAAAAAAGCCATGGCCGTGGTCCAAAGTACTAGGTATACATGTCAGAGAGAGACGAAGTCCATGGTCCACTGCTCAGGATTCCCCATGGACATACAGCCACGATACTTCCGTTTTGACGCAGGCACGCTCTCAATTGTGGTGAGCAACTAGTTCATTATTTCAGCAATCCGACCATGGCCAGCACCCACATTTTCATGGAAGCTTGTATCCCTACAGAAACATATCGTGTCCCAATTCCAAGTTTCCAACAGTCATTATCTGTACTACCCATGCATGATGGTTATGGGCCAGGAACCATCCATCAACGTATGGCATGCTGTGGGACTACACCCGGCCATGTAGGTGACTAAGCAGGGTGGGTGTCCAAAAAAATAAAAAAGGAAGTGCGCCGGCCGGGGTTCGAACCCGGGTCTCCACCTGATCCGATATCAGAAAGTGAGTCTTTTGGACCCACCTTCCTTATTGGGAAGGAGGAATACTGAACCACTATACTACCGGCGCTCTGGTGATGTTATAAATGTTTGTTTGTTACGGTTTATATTCTAAAAATCTTATCTCCAAAAAAGAAGCAAACCCTACCTTTTCGGCCATGAAAACGGTTGAAGTGTCAGGATTGTACTTACGATACTTATGTGTAACTAGCTGACTGATCAGGTCTTGTAATACTTTTAGATAGCCTTTTTTTTCTATCAAATTTGTGGGGGGTTGCGTTTAGAAAGGCGCGGACTTGTCGAGACTAGGCATGGTGGTGAGATTTTAGGGTCTCTCCAACGGCCATGGCCGCTGTATAAATCCAAACTAATGGGTCCGTATAGATCAGGGTATCCTGTCTATATCAATGTTCTGGTGACTGGGGGTGTTGGTGGAAAGTGCTCGATAAGTTGACCATGGTCGGAGAGCGGCCCTCTTGTATATATTTGGAGTCACGTCAGAGAAGTAACACGGGGCAGCGTCAACAGCGCAATAGGCAGCAAGAATGAAGCTGCCAATTAACGATTATATTAAGCACGTAAAGACCACCACACCATAATGTTACTGACCAAATACCATATGCGTATGCTTAATTCGAAGTTGGTACAGTCTTGGCCACAAGTGCCCTAGCTTGCGATATGAATGCAATCACTGCAAAGCCAAGAGCACAGAAATATTACTATAATATCAGATAAAAAACAAGCAGATAAAGATATAACTGTGAAGTCTAGACAAGCGACCAGCCAAAATAAAGGGGGAAAATAAATATTACAAGCCAGCTCAGCAGTCTTATCACGACGAAGCAAGGACAACATCCCCAATATCCGCAGGCGCAGCCCCATAGAAACGCCCGTACGCAACCATCCGAGGCCCAGACGCAGGTATCTATTCTTTATCTGCATGGGACTCCGCAGTCCACACCGAGGGGTCACGACCCAGCTCAACCTGATAAAGGCATGACAGAGCCATATTAGAGTCTGAAGCCTAGGCTCCCATCCTGACCTCCACTCGCAGGCGATTCTGGGTATCTCTCTCGCCCTGCCCGGATACTCCTCGCAGGTATTGAGCACACCAGGAGGTCAGCCCTGCACCTTGCACCGTCCAGACGACCGGGCCCTGGCCAGGAACGTCGCTAATATAACCTCCTCGCAAGCGTTGCTCACTCCCGGGCCGAGTATTGGACCAGACCCATTGCGACGGCAAACAGGATAGTGGCGCGTATCCCGTCAGAACAATTTCTGCCTCCTGACCACGTCTCCTGGTCCCCATCGAAGGTTCCGTGGCCCACGATTTGAAGTCCAGCGGGAGGCCGATGTGCTCCAGGAGGAAAGCCTGTGCAGACCTATCCTGGGCTCTATGGGACCCAAAGGCCGGGGAAAGGTATGATTACCAGCTGAAATAACGCAGAGAGATGTTGAGGAGTGTGCGAAAGCAAGGATATGATTGATTTTGCGGTAGGATTTGGTGTAGTGCAAAGCTTGCTAGCAGCAGGTATTCAAGCTTATTGTATATCGGACCCAGAACAGTATTGCTTAGACACTGCACTTGGCCATGGTCACAAAGCTCTTTATACCTTGTTATGCAAAACACGTGGAAAGCCCTCTATTTCAATCATGGCTGCTGGAAACCAGAGCAATGCGCCATCGCCCGACTCTCGAGCAGCTGTTGCTCTGGTGGAGCCGCCGCCAATACCCTGATGCTTTTAGTCCCATCCAAGCTCAATACGGCTGGCCTGGCGTGGGGAAATTGGTTGACTAGATCCTTTGGCTTTTATTCTACAATAGCCTAATGCTATGGTGACCATATGCCGGTTCTGGCCAGGTGTATGCAGAGGGACTTCAGGCTGCCTGTGACTGGAGAGACCGTCCGGTGGACAAGATGGGAAGGAGCGATCCAGTCCAGTCCCGGGGCCTTCTCGTGGCTGACTCCCACACCTGGACCCTGTCCCACACTCGCTCGGGGCGCCATTGCGTCCTTTCCCAAACCGTCCTTCATCAACTGCGCATCGAGGCCAATGAGCCTTTGCTGCAAGGAAACACTCACCGATTCCCCAACCTACACCAACAGCGAGACTGGAGCTCCTGTTCCATCCACGTCCTCTTCTCTTGAACCTGTTTCAGGTTACTTGCATAATTTGACCGCTGTTGAACGACTCAGATACCTCTTGTGTTACGTCCACGGCCCGATCCGTTGTTCCACACACAAAAACCATCTGATATCACCCGACGTACGATTAAATGTCCTTACGCGATGCCGAGGCTGCTAACCAAGACGGACAGTCTGACGACGAATATACGGAAGACCAGACCATAAAGGAGGAGGTGGTGTTACGAGAAGATGATGACATTGGCCCACCGGTAGACCCCGGCTGCCCGGATTTGGAGCCTGGAGACGACGATACGCCGGAGGTTGAACCGCATCAAGACGAGGACACTACCTTACAGATACCGGTGGTGGAAGTTGAGGAACCGATTCAACAAACGGAAGCCAGGGACGACTACCAGCAGCTACTATCTTCATTTCATGCTACAGACCGTCACAGAACGGCGCTGATACCTACAAAACGAGAGAATACACCGGCAAGCCCAGTGAAAAACAAACAAGGTACGACAGACACCATCCCCGGCTTTGAGATTTGATGCTGACCTTGCCGCAGTCAAAGTAGACCATCCAGCCAAGGACGAACCTGAACAGGAAGGCGTTTGCACCCATCAACATTCGGATATTGTACCAGATTGGAATGACTCGGTAGAGGAGGAACCTCATGAAGACGACAACATCACCATACAAGCGCCGCTGCCAGAAATAAACGAATCACCTCGACCTACTAAATATACTTCGGGATTGGACGAAGCGGTTCAGACTGCGAATGTAATATTTATTCCACCATGCCGATTCGCTACACTGGGATGATATAACGAAGAACATATCATGGGTGGGACGCTCCACCTACCACCCGATGAGAAAGGCATCAGAAGTGGACGTTGTTGCTTTCCTCAGTGCAGTGATTCCGGAATCTACGCAAAGTGTCCTCGGAGATGACGACATCACGGAACAGAAACTGATGAGCCTACCGCCCATTGATAGGACAGAAGATAAGTGCGGCGTGTATGGCTGCTATGTGCGCAGGGTCGGAGGCACTGGTGGGCTCTATATCGGCTCCACCACTTGGAGTCTCCGGCGGCGCCTACACGAACATCTCTATCATATGCGGAAGGCTCGGCAGCAAGGCAAAGCAAGCGGTGCCTTCTATCAATACTACTTGAACAATCCAAGTAGTACCGCCATCTTCTTCGAGATAGCGTCGTGGCCAAAATCCGAGTGTAGTGCATGGTTGGTCCGGTTATTGGAGACGATTATAATGTTAATTCTAGATACCTTTGCACCAGCGCGAGCATCACCGACTTACAATGTCGGCGAAGAGCAATTATCTGATCCAATGGATAAAGTTGATTCGCGATCGAATCACTTTGAGCCCCTCAATTCCGCCTTGCCCACGAAGCAGACTCTGAAATGCGGCCTCGGCCGGAAAGCTCGTTGGCACGGAAAACGCTGGATATGATCACATTACAGTCCACAAGAAAGCGAATGCTCAAATGTTTGTGTCAAATTGGACAACGCTTGTTAAAAATAGACAGACCTCATGTACATCATAACTCATTCCTATACATCATCTCGGGTGTGGTCGATGGCCATACACACAAGATCTCCAATCTCATACTCAGAGCAACCACTGATACATGCAGCAGTAGGGATGCTACCTGCATCCGTACATCTGTAGTCCGCAGGTTGATGGCCGCAGCCACAATCAAAAAGTACAACACCCACGGATTAACAGCCAAGGGAGAACAAGGCTGCAGTACCATGGCAATCTTGGCAAGAAACAGAGCCAACTGCACTGCAAATAACGGTGGATACCACCTAGAAAGGCGCCGCGAGAGGGAATTCCTGCCCGGCGGGGGAGGTAGCAGTCGGATAGGAGGCTCGACAGTAGTCGGCCCGACTTGTCGGGTCTCATTTCTGGGTGGCGACACTGGTGAGACAGACTGTGCACTGGAGAACCGCGGCCGGACAATCAGATCACGATCCGGACTGAGCGAGCTTCGTCTTTCTGTACTATCCACGTCTTCGAAAACGGGGGTCAAGTCTCCGACGGAACCGTTGGGATCATATACAGAATTGCGGCGGAGGGCAGGGCCCCGCGAGAAAGACTTTTTCGGAGACACTGCCTGATCGAACGGATCGACTGTGTCGTCGAGAGGACGAATTCTGGAGCTGGTGTGCACATCAGGGGTAGAAGCATTACTGCCGCTCCGTTTCGTGCGCAGGTTCTCGTTAGCGCCGAGGCCGCTGAGAACCTCGTCCGCAGACGGCCGCAGATCAGGATCAACTGACAGCAAACGCCAGAGGAAAGTGTAGAGTTGCTCGGGCAAATCAGGACGAATGCGTCCTTGGTCAAATCCAGACCAGTCCATGATCTCCTCGCGAAGCTTCTCAAGGTCCTCCCTTTCTTCGTGGATGAGATCGGCATTCTGGTATGGGAGTTGCCCGAAGCACAAAAAGTACAAAATCATTCCAAGGCTGAAAATGTCACTCTTGAAAGTGAAATTGGCGAAAGGACCATCGGGATATTCCCGTCGCAGCACCTCTGGGGCACAGTACGACACAGTTCCTGTCGCGCCAGTAGACATCCGGATAGCATCCTGCGACTGAACTTCGCCGAAATCGCTAACCAAGACGCGTATGCCATCGTTAGTCTTGTGCAGCAGACAGTTATTGGGCTTGAGATCGCGATGGATATATCCGCTAGCATGGAGATATCGAAGGCCCGAAGTAATGTCCTTGAAGAACGAGTATATCTCATCGAAATGCAGTTTGCGAGGTTCTCTCAAGTCAATAGGCACTTCGGGACCGCCCTTCGACCTCCGTCGAATACGCTCTTTCAATTCCTGGGGGCTTGTAGAGGTTTGCATAGAGCCGCAAATGTAATTGTGTAGATCCCCCGCATTGCAGTACTGCTGGAGGATGAACGCGCATGGGACGCTTGGTCCGAACGTAGTGATCTTGGCGTTCTCTAGCCATACATGGCGGTATGAGACGAGATTCTGATGAGAAAGATGCTGGAGCGTCTGGACTTCGATAAGGACCTTTTCGAGCCATTCGTGGTCGTCGCCGACGGGCACGCGCTTACAGGCGTAGTGCCCAAGGGACACGCCGTCCAAGACATGCTTTACCAGCAGCACCACACCCTTCCCGCCCTTACCTAGCACAGTTTCTTCCACAAAGAACCTTTTGAAATAGTCCGGAGTAAACGCCGCCGACGAGATTCCGTGTCCGGCATGGACCCTAGACTGACCGGATTCGCTCGAAGCACGATCGGCGAGGACAGGTTGCACAAAACGTCGAGTTTGCGACTGCGACGTGGTCGGATCTAACGAGGGAGGAGGGAGGCTATTATGGAGCATGCGAAAGTATTCGGGATTGACGAATTCCTGCTGCGATCCGGCATGGTGGTTGTCTGGACCCGCAGACTCGTCGCGCAACGGCCTGCGACAATACGGGCATTGCGGATCGTGATCGTCTCGCTCGTCATCGGTGGCATTTCGAAGAACTAGCTGCTTCGAAACCGGATCGTAGACCACAACGGAGCCGTCATGGCGCCTGGAATGATATCAATGAGGACCGAGAATTTGACGGCGGTCGCAAAGGGGAGGCTTACAGAACAACATCGTGGGAAGAGGAATAAGGAACAATGGCGCCGTCCGCCATCATAGATCAGAGCGGCATGTCTCCCGAGGAGAGAAGTGAAAGGCCATAACCAGGAGAAGAGAGTAGGTGTTTAAAGAAGAAAGGCGGTGGTCTGTCCTCCAAGGTGAGGCAGTTGCCCATAAGACGGTGGATGGACCTGTGGATGCGATGATCATGACTGCTGCCCCACGCGAGACACGTGAGCCAATCCCGTCGCTCCTTTATCCCCTGTTTGCTTGCTACGAAATACTCGCTTACTTTACCGATCAGTTGGAAAAAATATAGACTAAGATCTTGTCATGATATTTGTAAGGGGTATCTAGATAAGTGATGTCGTCGACACCAAGCTCGATGATGGGTCCTCCCGGAGGAAGCATCCTTGGAGCATGTACGATGGAGGCAGCCCAGAGGCCGACACGACGCTGTGGGTACTGTCTATTGTTATTCCAAGTGGGCTCGGTCAATATGAACCGTGCCACGATTTCCGCGCTGTGTTCTCAGGCTGTTTCTGTACAGCTGTCAAATAGACCAGCCGACCGGCCAAGCAGGAATCGACAGCTAAGCGTGCAGGGCGTCCTGCGACGCTGGTGTCAAACAAGCAGGTCAGATATGACTTGTGCAAGCTTGCCGAAGTTGTGAGGGTTTGATATGATAGGGGGCTAGAAGGAGCTCACTCCTCCCCGCTTTCATCGTCGCTGACTTCGAGGTTGGCGATCGAGTCGTCGTCGCTGTCATCATCCTCGTCATCGAACCCCTTGAACTCTTCCTCAGAGGCGGAAGCGGACTTATCCTGGCCTTCCTTGTCTTCTCCCGCATCCTGAGAGGTCTCCTCAATCTTGCGCTTCCGCCCCATCTCGCCAAGTCTGCCTTCACGGCCTTCGATCTTCTCGCTCTCCTCACCAGGTGTGTGAGGAGGAGGGGTAAACCAAGGAATCTTGCCTCGAAGAAAATCGTTGATGACCATCTTGGCAACACCATCGAGATCCGGCTCGCCTCCACGAAGAAGCCTGCCACCCTTTCTGGCGAGGATGCTGAGGAACTCAATGGCATCGCTCGTTTCCTTGATGCCATAAGTGCGCTCAAGGTGCTTGGGCTGCACCTTCCTGAGAATGGCCGGAATATACTGCTCGGGGTTGTCGACGTTTTCAACACGGACCACACCTCTGAGAAGGATATCCTCAGGGGTATCTGTCTGACTTGGCGGGACAACACCAGGGCAGTCGATGAGGTAGATCCGCTTCATCAAGGTGATGTATTGCCAGACCTTGGTCTCTCCAGGAATAGGAGCGACTGTGCACACCTTCTTCTTCCGGAGAGTGTTGATGATTGACGACTTTCCTGTGTTAGGATAGCCGATGAAGCCGACCGAAATTTGCTTTCGGTCGGAGTGGAGAGACGAGAATTGTCTCAGAAGCTGAATAAGAGATCCTTTACCGAATGAGTTGTTGATCGAAGCGTGGAAAGCTAGAGTAGGGTAGTCCTTGGACAGGTGGCGAACCCAAGCGGCCTGGTGTACAAAGTCAGCACACCATCATGGTAGAAAAACAGAAAAAACGAAACAGGTAATGATGTGTGAAATGTTACTAAGAGTGCTGCTATGAAGACGCCGATGGCGAAGCAGTACTCAACTCACGAACAGAACACTGCTCGGTCCTTAACGATCAGCTTTCAAGACGAAAGCCAATCAGCCTAGCTTCAGAATGAAATTCGGCGCGGACCAGCGTTGATATGCCAAAGCTGTAACAGACAATACTTCCATTGAGAAAGCGTGACACGGAGTCACAGAAGTAGACTTGACTTAGCGATGGCATGGCCGGAGCCAATGGAAAGATCGAAAGAATGAAAACAGCATGAAGCAGATAAAACTTACCGCAACGCCAGTAGGCACAAGATCACACTTGTTGAGGACAAAGATCAAGTGCTTGTGAGGTGCCTCTTCGCGGATGTATTTTTCAATACCTCTGCAGCGTGTGCCCTCGGGATCGCGAGCATCGATAACGTGAATGACAACGTCAGAGGAATCAATGACCTTGTACAGCTCGTTCCAGATTCTCTTGGATTGACCCTTGAGGAAGACAGCCTCACGAGAAATCGGCATCGTGCCAATTCCGAGGTCGGCAGCCACGTCGTCGCCCGCAACAGCAGCAGTGCCGTCCTCAAAGGTAGCCTGGTTCGACTTCTCAACGTAGCTATCGTGCATCTTAACAGTCTCACCAGCCAAGTCTTCGAGAGACGAGACACCGAGTTTGACTCGCTTTCTTTGGGCTTTGGGCCCGAATGTGTCGCTGAACGGCGATGTTTCAATCGCCATCTTGGCCTCATGCTGCTTAAGTCCATTGACCGTCTGGTTCTCCTTGATCAAACTCATTGGCAGCTTGTTTGTTTTCAGGAGAACCTGATACGGATCGGAAGCACGCTCGGCGACGGCTTCACGGAACGAGGACAAAGCCTCTTGCGAGATAACTCGAGTATTACCGAACCATTTCCGGTTGGGTTCTATTCTAGCGACCGGGGCCTCACGAGACTGGTACGAAGCAGCAACGGTGATGTTTCCAGCGGCGTCACGTCGAGGCTTGCCATCCTTGAGCATATTCAGATGCTTCACCTTCTTCGCATCTCTTCTCAAATCAGCCGCCGCACCGAGGACTCCATCAGATGAAGCTTACCTGTAGAAATTTTCACCCTTGACCCTGACATTGGCCATGCCATCGTTATCCTTACCCTGCCGGGTCCGGCGGGTGGCTTCCTTCTTCCCTGTACCCATTCTTTATGTATTCCTCCGACAACCTGGGAAATCAGGAGAAATAATAAGGGTGAAGAAAAAAAAAGGTTGGCGAAACGCAGAGAGAAGAAAGAGAAAAGTTGCTGGGGAGAAATTATTTTTTGACGGCGCCAAGCGGAGCAGCGCACGGACCAAGGGCGAGAAAATCGCTTCGATCTTTTTCCGGCCTTAAGCCAGACAACCGCGCTGCTCACCAGCTCAAACCGCCGGGGTTGTGAGCTCATAGTTGTCACCCATACTTACATCCCGCCTCTTTTTATTCCAAGGCCTTTAGCCTCACACCTAGGCATCCCGCCACAATGTCCCTCTTCCGTCAATGCCGCACTGCCACCGTGCAGCTCCGCGGTTTCTCTTCATCCTCCGCTCTCCGCGTTGGACCAGAATCGCCCAACTTCATTGAAGTCCCTCGAACAATTCAACCGGATCTTCCCCCAAAGCCTCGTGTCAAAGGTACACTGCCAGTGCCCCGAGAGCTCTTTCCCAAGCGACGAGTGGACAAACCTAACCCGCAATACATCGCCGCCGCCGCACCTCTCCCTACCAAGCAAGAAAATATCGATCCAAATGAGCCCCATGCCGAGTACCGAAGCTGGAAGCGCAGTATGGCCGACATGAGGAGGCAGAACTTCGAGGAGGGTCTGCTGGAACTACACAACCGGCAGCAACGAACGGATAAGACAATGGAAGAGCGGAGTCGGGCGAGGCAAAAGCTACGAGACCACGTCCTCCGACAGCCTGACCGAGAGGATGAACTTCTCACCCGGCCTACAATTCCAAAGGCTATGCTACCGAAGCGCACTCCTGTGCTGCCGGGCGGAGGTAGAGATAGACGTCTCAAAGCATCGCAGCGCCGGACTGAGCGGAAAGCGCAACTAAAGGCAAGTGAGCGCCGTGAATCGCTGCACACGCTTTACATGAATGCTCGCGAATTTATCACCACGGAAACCCAGTTGGCGGCCGAAATCGAGAAGATCTTCCCTGAAGGAGAGAACGAAGCTTGGCGTAGTGATAAAAGCAAGAATGGCGAGAACATTTGGAACAGGGGATTTCCCAAGACTATGGCATCCCGCCTTGGTGAGTCTCATGGCGAGGCGGCGCGAGAGTCGGAGCGATGGGATGTTGTCCAAGGCAGGATCAAGAAGTTGGGTGAGGAAATCACTGGCGGAAAGATCTGAAGTGTTGAACACTTGTATAATACTGTTATTTGCATTTAACTCGATATTTGTATTTTGATTGCACCTATTTTACACCATGTATACCAATGCTTCATGAACTGAACCCAGGAGTCATCCGCGAGAAGATATATTCAAAAGACACAAGCGCCGTCGCTATGCAATAATAAGAATGCCCCCCCAGAGGCAATTATCCTTCTTTCAGAGAAGTACTCATATGCTACCCGAGCCCGAGCCCGCAGCGAGAGCAGCACCCTGTGTGGCGACTGGTTTCATGACGTTAAAGGAGCTTGCCTGTCGTTTTGGAACCTCCTCGTCAATGAAGCATCCCAATCCCGCAAAGGCCTCGAGCATGGTTCGTGAGTAATATTCTTGCAGGTCGTACCCACCTGCAAGCATCCGAGTGTCCTGCCGGATAGGATCAAGATACGAGGACGGATAGTGGTCCCGCAATGTGTAATAGTCTCTTTTGTTTGGAACCATACCGCCAAATGGGTCGTAAGGCTTCTCGGGCTCCGGGGTCTTGATCTTCTTGAGACCCTTGATCAAACCAGAACCGCCCTCTTCGGCAGTGACGGCGCCAGGATAAGCAGGCTTCTGAGCATCTGTGCCGCGTAGAGCAGCTTGTTTCTGCCTGATTCGCTCTTCCTCGCTGCGCCGGGCTGAGGATTTCTTGAGCATGACTTTTTGCGCGATTGCAGCGGCATCTCCTGCTCGCCCCTGCGCAAGGTTGTTGAGATAATTTTCTCGGCCGGCCAATAGTTCTTTCCGTTCGTTTTCGTACTCTTCCTTGGCTGCCTGCCGTCGCAGACGTGCCAGTTCTTGTTCGTGGTTCTGACGTTCTTGGAACGAGGAGACCTCCTTCGCCTCGAGTGCTTGGTTGGCACGGATAGACCGCATATTCTCCGATGCGTAGCTCTGAAGGTCTGCTTCGGTTTTCGCGACATCGATTCTGTTGACGAGGTTGAAAATGATTTCCTCTCTCTGCTCTAGGAAGTTATCCCAGTCCAGCTTGGAATCGAACTCTTCTTCTCGGCGGTTGAGGCTTTGCATGGTTAGCACCGACTTAGCGGAAGCCAGAGAAGACGACTCACACCGTCATGACTCTCCGCCGTATATCGACCTCCCTCTCGACATGTATATCCTCAAAAGTCTGTTTGCGAAATCGATTCTTCCTCAGCGTCTTGTGGCACCCGGCCACCGGGCAGTTCGCGGGGCCGCCGGAGAATATCCGGTCCACGCAGGACTCGCACATCTTGTGGTAGCATTCTGGGTTGATTAGGAATCGCATATCTGGGTTCAGGTACCGCGAGGATTTGCAGACGGGGCAGACCTCTAGAGACGCCGTGGTTAGCTTGGACATGGGAATTGTAATGCATGGTCGGACCCTACCATCTTCATCCCCGCGATTTACCAGAGCTTCACGAGAAGGAGGCATGACTGTGGTATCGCTGCTCAGCACGGCAGGCAGAAATGATGCCTGTCAAGCAGTGATAAAGTGACGAAGTTGAAGGCAACCTCAGCGAGCATCTGTCGGTCATCAACGGTCCACGAACCAATCAGACCGAGGCTGAACTGTTCCGCGCGGCGGAATTTCTTTAGGTACTTTTTGCCGCCCGCCTTTCAAAAGTTATCCCCTCGCTCAAGTCCTCACTTTTCACTTACGAAGTCAGTCGCGAATCCCACTTTTTGGTTCCCGGATCTCTAAACTATTTTTGATTCTGTGCAAAATGGGTGTTCCGGACAGCAATATCGAAGGACTTGAACGCCGGCGCCGCGAGCTTGAGGGCAACATCTTACAACTGCAACAATCTCTTTACCACTGGAGGACATGGGAAGCGGAGTACGAGGGCCTGAAAGAAGGCATAAGCGACCTAGACGACGATGCCACAACTAGCGACTTTTTACGAGTTAGCCGCGATTTCTGCGGGACGTTCGTCACCGAGGACGAATTTCGAGTGATCATCGGCGAGAAACAAGGCCTCCAGCGGAATAGAGAACAAGTGGCCGCCCTTATTTCGCGACGAATCGACTATGTGAAGGACAATGTTGATTCGATGGAAAAGAGATTGCGCGCGGCCGAGTCTCAAATGGAAGCCTTAGATTCGGCTGAACAGCAACCGCGGAACCCAGCAGAGGATTTCCCGATGAGGGAGATTATTGAGGAACTTGACGAAGACGGGGAAATTATTTCGAGTACAACTACAAACCCGGGGGACCAGGCTTCGAGCCTGTTAGAGATCCTGAAGAAGGCTGGTGTTCAGGACATACCAGACCTCCCTAAGCCGGATACCTCCGCATCTACCGAGTCGCAACCGTCGGAGCCTACACTGGAGAATGATTCTGCTATAAATCCTCAAGAAACGGGAAATAAGCATGATGATTTACCGGAGGCTGGATCGGAGCATGTCCCATCCGCAAGGAACGGGGTCTCTCTGCCTGTGACTGCATCAGTGACTGATGCGGCCGAAACCCCGGAAGAATCTGAGAGAGAGGTTCCGGTTGTGGATGTTGACGAGTCGCCAGAGGATGCCCAGCTCCGTCGTGAAATGCTGCGGTATGGTCTGGATGAAGTTGGTGCGGTAGTCGCCGAGCTTGAATTGGATGATGATGCAAGTGAGGTCTCTCTTGAAGACTACGATTCATATCCATATGACGACGAAGACGAAGATGAGGAAGATGAGTATGGACGCACTATTGGGCCCGTTCTGGACGAAGACTATCATCGGCAGATGCGCGAGTTGGAGGCGAAATTGAACGCCCGGGGCATGTGGAATGTGGGCAAAGATTCCGCATCGCTCCCCATACACGTGAAAGAGGATCTTGAGCAACCGGCCAAGGTTAAGATAGAGAGGACCGTGGAATCAAATGACGAACCGGCCCCCAAAGCAAAGTCAAAGAAAAAGGTTGCTTTCGCCGAAGAGCTTGACATCGCCCCAGCCCCCAAACCTCCAGCGCCTGAAAGCAAGAAGGTCGTTCCTCGCGAGCCTGATGTCCCCGTCTTATCGGACTCTATCATTGAACGTACAAAGCCGGAAAAACCCTCTGGTACTGCCACTGCACCGGCCCCAAAGAAAACCTCTCGTTTCAAGACAGCTCGCGGTACTGGAGAAACCATTGCCGATGTGAACTCTGTTGCACCTCCAACCCTTGGTCAACGCAAAACTTCTTCACTTGGACCAACCCCGGCAATGCCTTTATTTCCCGCCAAGCCCGCAGAACCGAAACCCTTCTCCCAGCCTATCTCCGACATCACCGAAAAGCCACCGGGTCCTGTGACTCCCACCGGACCCAAGGGCAAAATCCTTGCAGATACCCTTGTCGAGCGTGACATTGCGGAGGGAACCGCCACAGCTCCAGAGCCAGACGAGTTAGACGAAGAACTTCATCGGAAAGAAATCGCCACTGAATTTCACCGGATGAGAAACAGAATGGCCAAACAAAACGGTGGCTCCCTGGAAGATGATGATGAACAAGAGTTTGTTCCAGTTGAGGAACCGCCAAAGCGAATCAGCAAATTCCGGGCTTCTCGGATGGTATAACCCGAATATAACAATTATAGACACAGATACCCGGCAGTATTTCCCTCAACATATAGACATGCTTGCATACTCCAGACATTGGATTCATATTTGATATTGAAGATAAGCACTAGGGATTCTACAATAATCGCAATGGGCATACCATCTCCTGTTGGTATATCCATCGTCGAGAATTCCAAGATTAACGACAAGGGCTCTCTGACTGCTTTCATTTCCCGACTGTATTGGGCTCGGTCGAGTACTTACGGTCTGGAATCGATGGATCTGCGGTTACGTTTCACCCTCTACATCAATTCAAGGCGTCACGCAATGCCGGTGGGCCATATTGCACTCGTCAATCATTGCCTGGTGAGTGTATCGGTAAACCGGAGAATCTGGGCCGCACAACAGGGTTGTAACTTGTGGCGCTGTACCTGTACTCGAAATAGAACAGGACCCTGGCGGCCCGGCCTAACTCGATCGATTCTCGGAGCGTAGTACGTGGAATGCATCCGCATTGCTGTTAAGACTAGGCAGTTCGAGCATCCCAAAGGTCATACTCCGTATATGAGCTCCTTGTTGGTTGGTGCCTAGATTTATAGTGTCGGAGTGCTCCGCCTGGAAGCGATGTATATACTGTCGTCAAATGGCAATCCCTTCCTTCTTACCAAAGGATCATGAGTTGGTTATCCTTTGAAAACAAGAATAGAAATGGACCGAAGCCTTGAGCGGGGCGTGCGTTTGCTCCCCGCGGAGAAGAGACTGGGGAAGTATACAATCACCTGCGATATTTATCAGCATCGAGACATCATCACTCTTCGTATTCGTGAACATAACAATATCCTTGATTAACCCCAAAGTCTCAACTTCGGTCAATGGTTATTGTGCGCATCGAACCAGGCAGCTATAGATGGATCTCGTCAAAACCATCGTTCTGGCCTCCACCTCGCTTGTTGATAAAAATGACGTGGATAGGATCAACATGAGCAGTTGCCTGAAGAAAGAGGTGTACGTACCCAGTCTGACGCTGGCCAGGACCAGGATTTGAATGAGATGTTTGATTGAAATAGAAATAAGCAAAGCCGTTGGCGCGATTCACTGGGGCGGCCCACCGGGCATACCGGGCGAGCCAGTTTTCCCACACCGAGCAGCCCATCATCGCCCGTCCCTGTTGACCTCTCCACTGTCATCTCCATCTCCTCATGTCTGATGATGTTGACCCAGCAAGGGCACGCTCACTGCCTCGTCTCGCCTCGATCGAGCGAATGGGCTATCAGATCTGATATGCTTTATTAATGACTTACTCTGTATCTTGCTCCACGCTCCACCCTGCGGAGGACTTCGCAAACGCAGCCGTGCCTGGAGGAGTATGATGCACTCACCATTGGCAGGCTAGAGACCCATCTTGCGAACGCGGGCTACGAAGGTGTCACCTATACGGTAACTTCCCACTGCAACAACAGCATATCCGGGGTGGTTTCTCCCGGACAGCGAGGACAAGGTTAAACCGGTAGAGCCTTTGGATTTCGCAGTGGCGTCAGCAGCCTCGACCCCGGCTGTGGGCTCGTTAAGCCCATCAGTGCCACCTGAGCTCGTGGATCAAACTGCAATTTGTTCGCACTCTCGCAGAAGCTCATCTGAACCATGAATCCGAGAAGCGCTGGCCAAGGCAGAGTTATACTCGACCCAGCATCCACGGATGGCCCACCTCACTGTTGCCCTATTACCTGTATTGGCCTCGCTGGTGGCCTAGTGGCAGGGAGATATGTCCCGGGACTCAATTGACAATAAATCGAGCTCCACAAGTATCAGTGACGTCTAGCACTTGGAAGTTCCAGGCCCGGGTTTCTCGGCCTGGTTACAGCCTGTTTACGCTTTCCCTGAGGAGGTCTTATTGGGTCAACCTGGGATTATTCTCCCAGGGTTCAACGCTTCATAGATGCTATGACCGCATATGCTGAGCTAAACGACCCGGAGCACCCCCCCGAAGTTATAAATTAGCTTCCTCCTTCCAGAGCATATTCAATCATCTCGAGTGTAGGCAAGAATCAACTTGACTCTTCCCTTACACTCGCTTTGCCGGTTTCACTTGGCCATGGCCAACATGAGGAACTTTGCTGCTTTCGCAGCCTTTGCGGCAAGCGCTCATGCACTTGTTCCTCGCGATACCAGCTGCTGCTTCCACCTCACAGCATCTGGTGGTGCATCGGGCCCTGTCGGCCAGCTTGGTGATGGACAAAACCGTGTCGGCGGCGACTCTTCAAGCTTGCCCGAGGGCCAGTACTGTATCGACTCAGACGGCTCTCTCACTGATGGAAATGGACGTGGCTGCATATTGACTCGTATGGCATTGACCTCAGATCATCAACGCTGTGGAAAAACTTGCTAACTGTTTATTATAGCTCCCACAACACAGTTCCAATGTGACTTGGGCGGTACTCCCACACCAGGGTTCTCCGTCGGCTCAAGCGGCATGCTAGGTTACAATGGGCAAACCAATTTCGTTGCCTGTGCAACAGGTGAAAACGGGGAGTTAAACATCTACACATCGCCGAACAGCGCGGACGTCACAGGCTGCGTTAGTGTTCAACTAATGGCCGATTCCTGCTCAGGAACAGGGCCAGGCGCGGGTGGAGGCACGGGTGGAGGAACCGGAGGAGGTCAAGGCCCAGGACAAAGTGCCACGCCCAGCGCTCCCGGTGGTGGTGGTACTGGAGGAGGTCAAGGACCTGGTGCTACGCCTAGTTCGCCCGGTGGTGGTGGTGGTGGTGGTGCAGGAGGAGGCCAAGGTCCTGGTGCTACTCCCAGCTCTCCTGGAGGTGGCGGTGGTGCTGGCGGAGGTCAAGGACCTGGCGAAACACCTAGTTCTCCTGGTGGTGGTGCTGGCGGAGGTCAAGGCCCTGGTGCTACTCCTAGCTCTCCTGGCGGTGGTGCTGGCGGAGGTCAAGGACCCGGTGCCACTCCTAGTTCTCCCGGAGGGGGTGGTGCCGGCGGAGGTCAAGGCCCTGGCGCAACACCTAGTTCCCCTGGCGGCGGTGCTGGCGGAGGTCAAGGACCCGGTGCCACTCCTAGCTCTCCCGGCGGTGGTGCCGGCGGAGGGCAAGGACCTGGTTCTACTCCTAGCTCGCCTGGAGGTGGTGCCGGCGGAGGCCAAGGACCCGGTGCTACTCCTAGCTCTCCTGGCGGTGGTGCCGGCGGAGGCCAAGGACCCGGTGCTACTCCTAGCTCTCCCGGCGGTGGTGCCGGCGGAGGTCAAGGACCTAGTTCTACTCCTAGTTCACCTGGAGGTGGTGCCGGCGGAGGTCAAGGACCTAGTTCCACTCCTAGCTCACCTGGAGGTGGTGCCGGCGGAGGTCAAGGGCCTGGTTCTACTCCTAGCTCGCCCGGAGGAGGCGGTGCTGGAGGAGGTCAAAGCCCCAGTCAAGGTGCAACACCGTCGTCTAGTGCTCCCGGAGGAGGCGGTGCTGGAGGAGGCCAAGGCCCCAGTCAAGGCGCGACACCGTCGCCCAGTGCTCCCGGAGGTGGTGGAGCTGGAGGAGGCCAAGGACCTGGCCAGAGCGCTACTCCCACGCCAAGCGCTCCTGGAGGTGGTGCAGGAGGTGGTGGTGGATCTCAAGGTCCTGGTCAGAGCACTATGACTGTTCCAGTTATCTCGCCTTCTCCTTCGCCTAGTGCTCCTGCTGGTGGTGGTGGATCTCAACCTGGCCAAAGCACCGCGACTGTCCCCGTTGTCTCGCCCTCGCCTAGTACTCCTGGAGGCGGCGCCGGAGGAGGCCAAGGACCTGGCCAAAGCACCACGACTGTTCCCGTTGTCTCGCCCTCACCTAGCGTTCCCGGAGGTGGTGCAGGAGGAGGTGGTGGATCTCAAGGTCCTGGCCAGAGCACTGCCACTGTCCCAGTTGTCTCTCCCTCGTCTAGTGCGCCTGGAGGTGGCGCTGGAGGAGGCCAGGGTCCCAGCACCAGCACCGTCACAGTCCCAATTGTCTCACCATCGCCAAGCGCACCAGACGGCGAAGGTCCCGGCCAAGGCGCTTCACCCTCGCCCAGTTCTCCAGGAGGCGGCGCCGGCGGAGGTGGAGGAGGTGGCACAAGCACTGTTACTGTGCCAGTTGTCTCACCATCACCGAGTGTTCCAGGCGGCGAAGGTCCTGGCCAAGGAGCTTCACCCTCACCTAGTGCCCCAGGAGGCGGCGCTGGAGGAGGCGGTGGTCAGAGCACCATGACTGTCCCGGTTATCTCGCCCTCGCCGAGTGTCCCCGGTTCTCAAGGTCCTGGTGGAGTGCCTGGCGAATGTGCTGATTGCCCTTCCACAGCAACGATTTACACAACCGTCATTGTTGATTGCAGCACTGAAACTCCTGGTGTCCCCGGTGGAGAGTCAAACACGCCGGGTGTCCCTGGAGGAACCGAGCCTGGTCAACCTCCTGCTACTGGAGTTCCCACGGGTCCTGGTGGTGGAGGTATGATTCCTACTGGTCCTGCTGGCGGCGGCGGCGGCGGAGGTCAACCTACTGGTCCCGCTGGCGGTGGTGGAGGAGGTCAACCTACTGGTCCCGCTGGCGGTGGTGGAGGAGGTCAACCTACTGGTCCCGC